CCCTACAATTGTGTAACGTTTTGACACCAGACAACAATTTTGAAATCGATGAGTCTTTTATTCAGTCCTAGCGCAGGGTCAGTAAACTCATCATCCCCTCATGAACATAATGTTCACTCCTAAACAACTTGTAAATTAATCATATAAAAATTATTGCATCATAAACTGTTATAATATAAAGATAGTCTGTCTTCTCACAGAGTAGAAAAGGAGAAGACTGGTGCTGCCATCTATTGGCATAGTACCTTCCGTATGGGTCTTACAATCCATACTGGTCTTAAAATCATGTAAATAATCTTCTGTTAATTATCACTTCTGACTGAAATGAAGTAAATACGGCGTGTTTCAAAAAAAAAATATATGTATTTTGAATGCATATATTTATTAAACCGTATGACATATGAATATGAAACTTAACACACATATGTACGAATCTCTCAAGTTCAGATTACAGATTTCAATATGTCCTCCATCAGCTACATGAACAGTATCACATCAATGCTCAAATTCCTCCCATACTCGGGCAAGCATGTCCGTCCGTACTGAGGTATGACAGTACGATTGTTCTCACCTATTCAGACTTAGTAGAGTAGTGGTACATAAATGTTGTCTTAATGAAACCCCATGACAGAGGATCAAACTCGAGAACACAAAATGATTTCTGCTTCGGAGTAGCCATTTTAAACATGTGACGGTTACCACGCAAAAACAGAAGACAACTGACATCTAGCAGCTATTAATATAAACTATACTATGTATTCATTTCGCCAATAGCCGAGCCGAGGCATAGTAATCAATAGTTTGGACAAAATAACACTTTGTAAAACGTATATTCTTTTTTAACACAGTGTATATAAGATTCAGCATATACACGTCATATATTTGCGGATTTTGAATTTTTTCTTCCTTTCAATAGAATTTATGAATCTTCTAACATGATACCTTGAAACAAGGTATATTAATTTCATAACTGCAAAATATTAAGCATTCATAGGGTCTTGCTGCCATTTAGAATCAAAAGAAAACACTAGAAACTTACAATTACAGCTTTTGGTGTAGAAAAATTAACATTTTTTAGGAGGTTAAAAAATTAACAAACAACCTGTATATTTTATGTACCTGTGGCCTAAACTAGTTAGACTGTTTATTTCTACTGTTAAAACAGGGGCACATCATATATGAAAGCAGATCCCAAGCAAGCTGTTATCCTGCATAACATTTGATACACTCTACAGGATACCTGTCCTGCTATTAATACCTTATCCTGACCCTTTCTTGTGCATGGTACAATAGGAATTGCATCTTTGCATGACACAATAATTTTCTTGAGCTGTATAACATTTTTGTCATCATTAGTTATCTGCACTGATGTCTTTGGAGTGTATTGAAGCTAAAATTCTTGAATTTGGTTGAAGGGGAATTTACCTTTTATATCATATCCATTAAGTTCTGCATTTAAGGATATTATTGTGTAGGTATGATTTTATGAATTATTTTTGGCTAGTTTTCATGTAAAATTCTGTTCCTATATGAATATCTCTCTGTGATGTTGTTTTAAGCCATAAATTGTTCTGTGATTGAATGTTTTTAGTAACCTGCATCATTTTTCATTCTGCTAACAGAAAACCCAAATGTATCCCTATTTTAGTGGTACTGGTATTTTGCGTTTTCTAAATTGCATAGATCTTTGATTTTGCTGTCTTATAAAAAATTTAATGGAATTAAAACCAGTCAACTGATTTAATAATGCATCAAGCATTATTAATGATGATGGTATTATAGCATTATTTATGGCATATGATTTCCCATCTTGTATGTAATAATTTTTATTACATGTGCTCAGTTTTCCATTAAGATAGAACTTGGTACATGTTAAACTTCATTGTGATTTTTACTTTTCCATTTACGCTTTTTTTTTTTTTTTTTTTTTTTTTTTCCAGTGAGCTTACACAAATTGTATCAGATGTGATACATGATCCAACTCTTCCCAGAACTGAAGATCACGTTTGCCCACGTTGTAATCACAAGGAATCTGTATTTTTCCAAGCTCAGAGTAGAAGAGCTGAGGTTAGTAAATTTATATACTTTAATAATTTCCATATTTATTTGAGAATAAAAAAAAACTCTTCTTACTTTTTAGGGTAAATTTTTAAGAAACAAAAATGTAGTTGAATATTTATTTTGTTATGATCTTAGTTTTTTCCTTCTTTCAGCATTTCCTTAAAATAACAGTACTGTTAGCTGTGGGGCCTAAGTACATCATTAGTGATAAGTTGTTACTTATTTGTTTTCAGGATTACTAGTCGCTAGTATAGTGGCAGCAGGCCTAAACTGAAATCACCTACCTACACATAGCCACTATAATTATTTTTAGTTATGCTTTATATATAATATATATGTATCATAATTAACTCTCTTGTGTATTAGTCATTCTGTGTAATATGGTAATTAAACATTGTCCTCTAATTCTGCAATTTTATATGTCAAAATACTCAAAGTAATACATACTTTGCATAACAATTAAAATAAAAGTCTCTCATTCATGCTTTTAAATCTTTCCAAGTTGGTCTCATTACCTCGTACAGACACATAGCATCAGTTATTGGGAATTGATAAGTTTTTTACAAATTTACTTTTAAATTAAATGGTTATTTGTATATTATCAAATGGTACATTAGCAGTTATATCGTGTTAAAAGAAACATTGCTTAGAAATTGCTGAAAAATATAATGCGTAATAAATGGAGACAATATAGATATAATAAATACATGATAAAGGTAAGTTTCTGATATATTTTTGGTTTTAAGCAAAAGTTATAGGTATCAAAAGTAGACAACAGTAAAAAGTGTATATGTTTTCAAGCAATGGCCAGTCATTGTACCTGAAGGTTACGGCATGCATATTATCTTGCATTGGTATGCAATTCCGTTAAAATCGTGAATACTGTATTTTCCATTCCTATACCCCAATATTGATTGATGGAATAAACTTTGTTTTCATGTAATGGGTTTGGTGTAAAAGTTTGGTCCTATTTTTAGGCAATTCAAATTACGAGTGGATTTGATGATGTACATGACATTGTGATGGTTGGAATTTTTAGCCAATAAAACATAATAGGCAGACAGCATGCTTATAAGAGTAAATAAAAGAAAAAAATGATTTAAAATGAATAAGAGCATGGAGCATATCTGATATTATTTGTTGTACGAGTTTGACACACGGAGTACTGCAGCTTCAGCATGCTGAAACATCAGTTGTATGAAAAGGATGGCTTTTGATGATAGCACATGATCACTGGTGTTGAAATTTCGGGATAGAATCTGCAAAAAAAATCAACCACATTTTGGATGTCTATTGGTTGTTTTGAGCAGATTCTGGACCATTTGAATACCTGTCATGTAATTGTTGAAGAATTAACAAAAATGCTGTTTGTGCTTAGAACAACACTTAATATGTATGCATGCACTTGAAATTATCACAAGGCTGGATCAGAGATCTACCTCAGCTATCTGAAAAGCAATGATAAGCAAGAACCAGTTCTTTTCTTTTGCTTTCTCATTCCGAAAGTTAACTATTTTTTAAATGATTTATGAGCTGGTATGAGATATGGATACTCTACAGTAATGTCAAAGGATTGTATGTAGGGTAACAAAACCTACTCCTTTCACATCAAGAATAGGACTGTATCCCTAAAAGTCTTATTAAGTGTATGGTGGGATAGAAAGAAATAATCAATGAGATTAGTTCCCGGGTAACTAAACCATTTACTGTCAACACTTGTCAGCTGCCAATGCATTATCTTTCAGCATGAAAATTCCAGACATCAAGCTGCTTTTAATCACTTGGAAAAAAAGCTACTCAACCTTGGTTGGTGTTTTTACCTTATTCTTGGACTTTGCTCATTCAGACTGCCATCTTTTTTAATGTTACAAAATTCCTTAGTCCTTCAAACCTTGGATAAAGAAATGAAAACAGCATTGAAAAATTTGTTTAATTCTAAAGCTGATGATTTTTATGGACAAGGGATAAATCTGCTATAAGGCAGATGGCAAGAAGTTGTACTAATTTTTAGCAATTATATGAATTTGTATGTTGCATTTTCTTTTATTCACTTTCTTTTTCACCTAAAAAAGGGATAAACTTTTACAGCATCAAAAAGTAGATCAAAGTAACTTCTTGCTGTCATGTATTTCTTGAAAAGAAAAAGAATGCAAAATTCCACCTCTACCACAACATTTGAACTAATGCTTTTCACTTTAATGATCACTTCTGGGTTTTTTATTTTTTCACTAAACATGTTTTAATATATGATATATAGCATTATATATCCATAACAAGATTTTTTTTTTTTTTTTTTTTTTTTTCCAAATCAGTGTCACTTTTTAAGTTTATTGAGTCACGTATTTTGAATTCAACATGTTCATCTGGATCATCCTCATTTATGTGTCAAATGGTTTGTATGAAAGTTTCATAATTTTTTATAATCTTGATATATTTGGCTGTCTTGATAACATTTTGGTTTTCTTGATGAAAATCTAATTTGTGCTGCATACATTATGTTTTCTTCTATGGTCACTTGTTTTAGTCTGTCACTTTTTTCCTCCCCATTTGGCATATCATTTTATTCAAAAAAATTTTTTTTCTAGTTAGTTCATGTTACCAAGAAATGTTCAAGTGATCCAAATTTATATCATTCTGCCTTTTCACATCTTTGTAATTATTACTAACAAAGTAAGGATAAACATATCACACACACTAACTGCTCCAACATAAATTGGCGTGTATCATTTCAATTATAATCACTTTTCTGCTTGATATTTTGTGAATTTAGCTAGCATGTTCAGTGCCAAAATTAATGAGATCTGTCCTTCACAAGATATTTTTTTCTGCAATGCTAATAGATGTAATTTACTATTATGATAAATAGAATGTTTGAAAAGGTTGCTTATAGGACTTTATTTCCTTAAATATTGATTCTTAAGCATTTACATTCCAAAACTCCATTAAGTAAAATGTTCATTATGCTGTTATAATTTTAAAATAAAATCATAATTATCACATGTATAATTTGTTGTTCCAAATTAAATGCATTGAGTAAGTTAGACTATTACGAGAATTTCTGACATGAAATAAATGCTTCAAAATGGTATAAGCTTTCATACCATTAACTAAAGATTATTTTTCAGTTTTTGCTCAGATATTGATCATATAAGTAAAGCGTTAATTTCATATCTTGTGATATTTTTAATGTTATATTATTTCAGTTATATATAAAAAAATTCCATTTAAAACAATAGTTCTTTAATTTTTTCTCATTGTTTTGCTTTTTAGGATGAAATGAGACTGTACTATGTGTGTACAAATCCTAACTGCACCCATAGGTGGACTGAATAGAAAAGTTGTAATTCATGGAAGAATAAAAAAAGGTGTTTATTTATTAAGGCATAATTATATTAATTTTTATATTCAACAAAATGTTTTGAATTTTGCTAAAGGTTCTTGTATATATGCTATTAAAATATGATTATGCAATCAGTGTCAGTTATTCCACAAAATTTATTCCTTTGTCTTTAATTGTGCTGACTTCATTATTGGACATAAATGAGGGATATATCAAAATTCAAAAGAAAATTGTTAATTCACAGCTAAATATATTTATTACCAACATGGCAAATCTTTGTGTCGAGAACTGCAGTTTGACTCATATCTGTACATCAGGATGGAAAAGCAATGTCTTATAAATAATAATTATGCTAGTTTAAAAATGCTAATATCTTTCCAAATTTTTTATTAGCAATACTCTTTATAAATGAAATAGTACACTTTTAATATATGAAAACAATTTTAATAAAAAATCGTAGGAAAGAATCAAATGATGAACTTGCAATTTTGGTATGTCTTCTCGACATCACTTGGATTATTTTATGTGTGGCCATATTACTTGCAAGATTGAAGAAGGGAGAAATATAGCAGATGTTTCTAGGGAATTTGACATCAGCCACAGTGTTGTTTCAAGGCTTTGGAAATCATTTCCAACAAATGGAATGTCAAGGGAGAGGCTGTGTTTGCAGTTTAATGCCTGCAGAAGCTAGGTACATAGTGCTATTGATGAAAAGGAATAGCATAGTGAGGTAGCAAGTTGGTTACTTTCTACAACTGAATCTTCCAAAAAAACTGTAGTCAAAAGAACATTAAACCACTATCCTGTTGTGCATTTGTGATGTCACGGTTCAGCCCTTCTGTAATGGTGTCATCAACATCACAAATGGAGGGAAGACAAGCGGACTTGTGCCAATGAAAGTATGTTCAATCTCTCATTTGATTGTGGACAGAAACTGATGAGGCAGGAAAGGGACTGATATCTTGCATGTAATCTTATGGGCTGGGATCATGATCAATGGCCGTACTTTGCTCTATGTGCTTCTGTTTCAGACCTACAACTGGCCAACAATACATTAATGATGTTCTGCTGCCTCATGTTTGCGTGTTCTGTGGTGCTGATGGTGATAAATTTGTTTTTATGGACATCAAATGCAGCGTGTCATCGAAGAATCTCTATCCAGGAGTGTCTAGAGAGCAAAGATATTCAATGCCTGATATAGCGAGCACTTTCTCTAGATCTGAATACCATTGAATATTTTTGGGGATGACTCTTGCTGGTCAACAATGCCCTTCAATAAACAAGAATACCCTCATCTATACACTAGCTAGTATATTTATTACCAACAGAGGAATGGGATAAATTACTCCAACAGTTGTTCAATAATGTTGTACAAAGCATTGCAGGGCCTGTGAAATCTTGCATCAGAATGCTTGCAGGCTGTAATTGCATTTCTTCCCACTTTTATGTATTCAGCACAAAATTATCATTTTGTCCCTTGAACACTTTTTAAAGCTTTCACAACACAATTATATTTATTTTATGTTCTAGCATTCTGACATTATTTTATTTCACTTGGCATTCAACTACACTCTTTTACATGCTATATAACCGTTCGGTGACCGTCCTTAGTAATTGTCCATTACTGTATTATGAACTGAAATTCCAGTTTAACAAATTCATCTAAACTCGGATATATGAAAGTAGCTTCGTAAATACATATATACTAACAAAGAAGATGACTATAAGCATATATATGAAGTTAATATACATATATATAGAAGAAGAAAGGACCGTACAATTTACATGATGAGATCGCACAAACCACATTAACTTTCACTAAGTCACATTCATGTTCAATTACAGTGAAAGGCTTCTCCATACCCCATATTCGACAGTTGTACTGGTTAACCTTCCCACTTTTGTGGAAGGTTGATTCATCACTAAAAATGAGACTATCAGCCCATTGTTTTATCCTTCATGCTTTCCAGCATAAACATAGCGTAATTCATACGTTTGCCGTAGTCCCTGTTTCAATTGCTGCACAAGTTGAATGATGTATGGTTTCATTTGCAGCCTCTTTCTGAGAACATTCCATACCATTTCTTGTGGCATTTGTAACTCCCTACTGCCTTTGTACGTCGATTTCCGTAGGCTTCGTTCATACATGTGGTGAATTCTTTCTACGCCATCTGCTGAAACAAGTGGCCTTCCGCTACTTTTCCCATTGCACAGAAATCCTGTTTCTTTAAACATCTGATGCCATCTCCATATATTCGTATTTGGAGGTTCTCGTTGTAATGCTGACGAAATCTTCTGTGGACTGTTAAAACAGAATGACATTTTTCAAATTCTAACACGCAGAATGCTTTCTGCATGAGACTCGCCATTTTTACTAACGAGACGCCCACAATCAACAGGTTTCTTGTCGTTGTGAAGTTTCAACTCTCATGCGTAGGTTTCTGCTTCACTGCACCTTAAATTTTGTAGTTCTGTCTATATTCTGTGTTATTCTTATCGATAAATTCTTTTCCATTAAATAATTATAGCCGTTTGTAACAGCTATATTCATTTTGGCTTACCCTGTATTATTAGCTTATAATACATATATTAACATATTATAAAAGTTTAAATATTTTACTTTATTTTCTTTGATGTAAATATCTTAATGAATGGAAGTTTGTGATTACAAATACCAAAATTAGTAATTATACAAATTTAGCTAAAAAATGCTGTTTAAATGCAGGTTTTTGTGAAGATATCGTGCTTAACCACTTGGAAGGTTAAAGCAAAATTTTTCCTCCTTTGAATTTATCCATTTATAATTAATTATAGGTGCATATAATCAAGAGTCGTAGCTAGGGTTTTCAGTGCCCAGGGACAACTGAAGATTTCGCACCCCCCTACTGCTTGCCAAGGATGGAAAACAATTCTAAAATGTCGTAACATCAGTTTGGCGCCCTTTGGATTCTGCGCCCAGGGACAGATGCCCCCCTCTAGCTACGCCCCTGCATACAATAGTAAAAAAAAATTTTAATTATATTCTTTTTATGATGTAGATTTACTTTTGTATCCTTTCTCAATAAGTTATTTTACTGTTTTTATTATGTGAAATTCAGTTTCAGAATCTATATAAATTCACAGGTGAGACAGCAGATTATAACAAGTATACATACACGCACAAATATATATGTATATTATTAAAAAAGGTTATTGCAGGCATACAAATGAAGCTGTTTAAATTAGTAATATAATAGTGCTACATAATAAATGAAATAAGTTCAAAAAATTAGGACTTATTGTAATTAATTGCTTACTATATCAATGTTAGAAATATTAAAATAACAATAAACTGATATACCAAAGCATCTTATTAACTTGAGTTATCTAGTCCTATTCTTTGAAACTTAATTGCAGAAAGTACCCTTGCTGTATATTCAAACAGCCTTTGCATTAGTATGTAAGCTTGTGTGGAAGATTTCTTATTAGTGCTAATAAGAACATACGAGAGGTACGCATAGTTTGAGGGAAGGAACCCAAAAGAAATTTTGATTAAGAAATAACCCTTGGTTCTGGATTTTATCAACTGAAATTGAATCCACACATTTGAAAGAGAATTCACATATGTTTCACAGGGTTCGTAGCGGTCCTTATAAGTCCTTATATTTGAAAATAAAACAAACCTTATAGGTGCTTACTTTTTTTAAAGCCTTTTTTTTTTTTTTTTGTTATTTTTGCTTTAGTTTTTTTTTTTTTTTTTTTTTAATGAACGCTATTTTCCCTACCAAAGCCAAAACTAAATAACCCTTTTTTAATATGGAATGTCAGATGGTGAAATCATACTCCCGGAAATAGCCTTTTCCCCCTTTCTCTGCATTAACATAACCTTTGGTCTGCACGAAAAGTACAGACCGGTGCCCGTCCTTTATTGGTCAAAGAATTGCGCAAAGCAGTAGAAAATCGGTCCATTTGCCATTCTTTCTCCCACCCAAATACTACCCAGTTTGAATTCTATCAAGATCTTAATAATTTGGATTCTCGTTCCACTTGGTCGTTCATATTGTGTTTATTATGATCGTTGCTTATATTCTGAGAATATGCATGAATGTTTATAATAACAGTTGCAGTAACTGCTAACACAGATTAGCTTTCTAAGGGAATATTTCGAATGGCTTAATAAAGGGAAAGTAATCGAATAGTCAAAATAATTTCATTTTTTGGGCCAATACATTATACAGTACAAAGATTGGGAGATTCTCTCCTTTCTCCGCAAAATCACGAATATTGAAACTGTTACAGTTCCCTGCTACACAAGCAACGGACTTTTTGCCACTTTCCAATCTGGATTAAATAGAACTAAAAGTTCTGCGGTCTACCACCCAAGCAAAGAATGATTCTGTTCTGGAAATTTAACACCGTCTGTTGAAAATTAGGATGAAAAACACCCCAGTTATTTAGTTCTTTATTCTCCCAATACCGGCAGCAGTAGATTCTGATTGTGTAATATCATGCAAGAATTACCGCGCATGTATTGCGCAATAACGTTTGCGATATTTGGCCGAGATAATTAATTTTCATTTTCTATCTGAATCTATTTGTTTATGAACACTTAAAAGAGTTTTACTGTGCTTGCTAAGCAGAATATTTTTCAGTTCCATTGGTTTTATATGATGCACATATGGAAATGTCAAAAGCATTTATTTAGCGGAAAAATCTAAAGAGCGGCTACAGTCTACCCCCCCCTCTCCGCTCCTCTTTTTCAAGTTACGCTCAACTGTCCGAATATTCGCCAATTTCCAAGTGTGCGGGTTAGTTAAGCTTTTACTGTTAAAGGATGACTGCATGAAGCAAATTTCTGATTTCAGAAATGTTCCTCTTGTTTACTTAAATTACTTTGCTTGCAGTATCTGTTAAGGGAAAACTGATATACAATGAAAATTTAGAAAATGTTCAGAATTTAGATTTAAATTATTTAAATATCAATAGTGGAAAATAAATTTTATTTATTATTAGGTTCCAAGTGGAATACAATAAATATGCCTTATTATTATTTTTTTCTCTATTTTGAACGAAATTTCATCATTAAATTTTGTAATAGTTTAGTTCTGCATAGTTTTTTTTTCTCATTGAAACTAGCTCTGTAAATTGAACTGTTTTATTTAAATTTTTTTTAAAAAAAAGTAATTATTTCCCATGGTTGAGGTAATGCTTTTCTCTCTTAATAAATACTGCATTTTCATATTTTAAATTACAAGTCTAGTTTTTTGTTATACAGTTGTGTTAATGTAATTAGACAGTGCTTTTTTAACTAAATGTGGCTATGAACCCTGTTTCATTAAATATAAATTCTCCCTCTAAAAAAAAAATTAAAGCCTCAATCACATACCACCAGAAGTTCTTAAAATTGTGACAGACCCCCCTCAAAAAAAAAAAAAAAAAAGTAGAATTGTAACTTGCAGTGCGTCCGAAATAAATTTAAGCAGATGAAAATTTCAGTATTTTTATTATTAAAAGATTTTTAAAAAAGTATGCTGATCCCAAAAATTTTGAAAAAGATGATTAATAATTTTTAAAGTCTCATATTGATGTTATACATAAGGAAAATCACAAAAGATCCCATGTAACCATCCAGTTAACCATAATTTGGATCAAGGTCAAATTCCTAGTGTTCAGTGGTTTTACCTAGTTTTCAGTGTCTGAGAGATTAACATTTCTGAACCTGTGATTCAGTTTGCTTCATGAGCATCTCTCCAGGGCTGGAAGATTTTTTTCCAGCAAGCCTAAATCCATAAAATTATGGAAAAATGGAAGCATTGTTTAATAATGTTCTGCACAGTAGTATATTGATGGCGATATGCTTTCTATATAAATTTAATAACAAGTAGCAGCTAATGTAAAATGAATTACTGCACTTCATCTACTTGTACACCTTGGTAATGTTGACTACAGTATGAGACATCTTCCTAAAGCCACAGATATATCTTGTCAAGATAGTTGAAGGGGTAGTTTATCTTTCTAGGCAATTTACTCCTCAACTAGGCTATACATATCCTAAGTGTGACTCAAATTAATTTTGTTCCATGGCATCCAGGAGTCTTCAGGATCAGTTGTATTAAATATCTCAAGGATTTTATTAAGCAGGGCATCAAATATTTGGGATCAGAGAACAATGTAAACACAAGAAGAAAAACTGCAAACCATTAATCATTATTTAACATTTCAATTAGATGCTTTTAAATGAAATGGAAAAGGGTATCCAAAGAACTCTAGGTAATGAACATTTTATGTGTCATACAATGTATCTATCATCTCGAGAAATTTATAATTAGGGTTTTTTTCCCTTTTTTTTTTTTAACATTACAAACTTTAAACTCACCTGTACAAAATATAGAAGTGTAATTAATACATTTAAATTCTTAGTAATTAAGACTTTATATAATATATATAATCTCCATTGAAATGCTTATGATAAGAATTTAAATGTATTACAATTAAAAATTATATATTATACATAAAATAATCTGCCATACGAAATGCTTCTTATGTAGCTTATCCCCAGGTTTGTCGCAGAAATAATAAAAAAAGTAATAAGTGTATAGATCCCTGCTTTGAAATTTGTACATTAAAATGTAATAAAGGTTTTTTTTAAAGGTTAAAATGTATATGTCAGAGCACTAACAATAAATACTGACAATTAAGTGCGAAAAAAAATCTTAAAACAAAAAACTGTTTAAATTTATTAGAAAGCATATCACCATCAATATACTGTGCAGAAAATTATTAAACAATGCTTCAATTTTTCCATAATTTTATGGATTTAGGCTTGCTGGAAAAAAATCCTCCAGCCCTGGAGAGACGCTCATGAAAGAAATAGCTGGCCCTACTAATGCATGTTATGTTTGTACCTTTCGTTATGAAAGGGTTAAAATGTTCGAAAATCCGATTTGATAATTAATGAACAAAAATCAAAGAAAATTTAACACACTGACACTATACTTTCTGCCCAGACCACATCAGTTACTATTTTAAAAAATTACATTCTATCAAATCATACAAAGACCATTAGCTGCCAACATATTGGTGAAATCATACCACAGGCTAAATGAACAAGAGGCTTGGTGCTTAATATGCTAATCTTATCCATTTAAAATGCATGTTTGACTGACAGACATACATTTGAAAACATTATGTTCTATCAAATTGTACACATGAATGGCTAATAAACCTTATTGTGTATCTCAAGAATATTTTTGTGTGAAGGTAATTTTAAAGCAGAAATTAATATATGAACTAAGAAAAACTAGTGATAATAGATCATGATAATATATAAAATAATAGATCATGAGATAAGATATAAAATAATAGATCATGAGCAATATGTGAGAATTTGCTCAACCCCACTTATTCCACTAGATACTAAAAAGTGAACAAATATTTTACACTGAATAAATTTGACATTCATTCATAAGAATTTTATACATAAAATAAACTTCAAATTGAATAATAATTCAGTTCTAAAACTCCCCGAGCATTGTGGCTGAATCTACTCAATTGAATCACAGATAGCATACATAGTACTTTACACTTGCAAAGATCTTAGGATAAAGGTAACATAATAAAATGCATTTCCCCTAGATAGCCTGATCAACTTTTTCAAAAATATTGAGCTGTGAATATTTAAAAGGATACTAGGAAACAGTAAAACTACGAATAATAAACTTTATTCCATAACAACAAAGCAAGCATGTTTCAAGAAAAAGGTTACACTGCCAGCGTGGCAACCATTGAGTTTTCAGACATGCAACTGAATGCAGTTCATACTGATGATAAAGTACTTACAAAATGGTTTTTTTTTTTTTTTTTTTTTTTTTTTTTTTAAGTACATGATCATTGTACAAAACGAAATAGACTATCTTAAAACATGCACAACAAAACATTGGTCCCGCTTGCTTCACCATCATATAATAATTGCCAATAAGAAATATTTTTTCACAACACTGTCAAATCAATTTCCAAAAATTAAAAATTCATCACAACATATATTCTCATACTAAAGGTTGACATATGATTAAAATTTTCTAAACTAGTCTGAAAAGGAAAAATTCTCTCAAGTAATGTAATTAAGCTAATATTCCATCACAATTCAAAATAAAATATTGTGTTAGTTTCAAAAACAAATGGATGTTTTTTTTTAACAAGACTAGCATATTTTGTTACAATTTCATTCACATATTATAATTAACAATACAAATTTATAACTCTATATTATTAGTCTTCCATATGAGAAATTTATATATTTAACAACACAAAATATTCACAAAAACATTTTAAAATGCAACTTTTTGATCATAAATTAATGGCCATGTTTATATTTTTGGCCAAGTCAAAGCTCCGATTTGTTTTCCTCAATTTCCTACAAGAATTTTGGACCTGATAATAGTGAGTGACGAGTGACATCATGGCACTTAAAATGCAATAGGAATGTTGAGTAAAATGTGTTTTACTGACTATACAGAAATTTCAAAGAGAAAAACAAATAAATTTTTATGTTCACTTTTTATAAATTAATTATATTACCTGATGAAATTTTAGAAAAAAATATCTGTTTGTAGATAAATAAGGCAGTTATCCAAAAATATCCGAAAATTTTTTATGTATGCTTCTGACGGATTCTGTTCTCCTAAAGTAATTTAATATAAAATATTTCTATAAAAATTAAATACTCTTATTAACAACTATATGAAGTAAAAAACAGTACTTCATACTTTATTTTAAAAAAATTCTGTTTTCATTAAATTAAAAATATATATTACAGCTTTAATTTGCAATTAGAAAGTCACAAAAATAAAAACTATACACTGATTTTGACGAAATATTCTTATACATTACTAATTTTGATCAAAGGGGGAAATGTATAAATTCTTCAAAACACTGATTTGAAGTGCTGTTTTTTAAGATGCTGCCATATGTTTGACGCAGTAATACTTTATATTGATGGAAAACGATAAACTGTAAATATATGATCCCATCGTCACACAGTTTAAAATTAGCAGTACTGCAAAAAGATGTTTCACAAGGTAAAAAAATAGGACAGGCACTATTGCAATATATAAGAATATTAAATCTTCACACTTACATAACATTTAAAGTTTAGCAAAAGTGTCTTAAACTGGAACATTGTAAACAATCATATTAAAGTTCTATAATATTAACAAGCACTTGGAGTCATCAAAAATGCACTTCTGGAAAAGCTTTGCATTTGTAACCTTCTTTCAATATGCCTACTTTTTAGCCGAAGCATCCTAAAACAGAAAAAAAGAAATTAAATTTGCATTTTACCAGCAAAAGAACACTTATTGCAAATACTGAAAACCAACAACATTTTGATTTTTAATTTGATAACTTTCATGGCAACTTCACCATTATTTGACTTCATGGTGATCCTGTGGTAAAATTTAAAAAAAGAAATCTACATAAAATAAAGCATTTTTTAAAAAAACAAAAAGCAAGTAATTTTCAGAATTATAGTTTTATTACTTTTGCAAGTCATTTTGGCTTACATAAATTATATTTTAAGTAAACTTCTTATGTATGCCATATTTTTAATGTTTCAAGTTTTCTAAAACAGGTCTTTTTTTTTTTTTTTTTTTTACACACATCAGAATATCTGTACAGTATGTATTTATTAGTCTGACTCCCAAAAGCATTACTCTGTATCTCATACATTTGACAATATACTCAGAAATGCAAACTGTAGGTGTTGGATGTCATTAAAATAAAAACATTTTAACAAGTGTATATTACAAAAATATATAAATGAAACAAAGGAGGAATGTTTTTTGTGAAATTTACTAACGAATCTAAAAGTCTTGAAGATCTGCATGAACAATAAAAATCTACCAAAAATAATGGATTTATGGGCATAATTTGTAATTAAAATCAATTTTTATCAAAGAATTTATGAAAACAGTTTAATTTTCTCTCATAATCTTCTCTTCCTACAAGTAAACAGTAATCCATTCTCATTCCGATTTAAACCGAGAAAAAATTTTTATGAAGGCATTCTAGAAGCAACTAAACCATATAATGAAATACTATTAAAACTACCCTGATCAAAATTATGCAAAAATGGATAAATGTGATTATCATTAAAAGTAAAGAAACAGGTCACTTTATTTCTAAAATTGCAACAATCCAAGGTCAACGTCTTACAGAAGTGTTGTTTGCTTAAAAAAATACTGCAAAGCATATAAGAACTATTTGCCTAAGATGAGAGATGTCTTTGTGGAAAGCATGACTAATATTAACATTATACTACATATAGAAAATCATGGGGGAGGGGGACAAGCAGAGTTTAAGTGTCTTATTTACTTCGCAACTGTTTAGCCTTGCAGTTGAACAAGCTCCATCTGTTAATATCAAGGTAATCCTCCTTTTAATTCTTTTCTCATCTATACATGCATTATCAATCAACTCAGGCAAGTGAGATTTATGCAAAAAAGGCCAATAGTTTATACATCTCCACTACTTCTTCCAGAAATACCTTCAGAATATGTGCACAGACATAGAGAAAAAGCCAGAGACCTAAACCACCACTCTAACATCTCAGATGATCATTACATTGTTTCTGATTTATTTGATTATGGCAAAGCACTTGAAGGCTATCCTCCTAAAGGGAGAGATACCTTCGTCGAGAACTTTCTAAGGAAAACTGGTTTGTATACATGTTGCACATGGAGAAACCATAAAAACACCCATGCTGCTAGCCCATTCCAGGATTTGAACCTCGGAGCAAACTACCAATGTTCAGAGACTTCACAGCTCAGCCGCTGGTGAGCCCCACTACGTTGGTAATGCTATGCAATGATATCATAATGAAGAGAATGAATGAATGCCCTTCCACAAAATTTTAAGGTTCTTAACTTTTTAATAAAAAAAAAAAAAAAAAAGATGAGTACAAGCTATGGCTTGTAGAGTTTGAGGCCATAATTAAATTTTATAGATAACATTCATCGGTGCAAAGGTGGATTCATCCACAAATACCTTGAAAATAAGGGTGCAATGATTAGACAGATATCCAGATTTTAATCCTGCTTGGTGTAAGAGTTCCTCTTTAGAAATTACATGAATTAATAAATGACTTAAGAATGTGAATGGCTACTCTGAAATCTTAAAACTGCTGCAAATAGCAATAGTTAAATGATTGAGGCTTTTATGCAGGAGTTTTTAACACAAATTCATCATTTACACTGTACATGAAGCACAAAAATCATAAAAACCTAATTCAGCCAACTTATTTCACAGGAAATTGAATACAGTACAATTGAACAGCATTTTCCTCTCAATCCACAATGAATCAATAACATACAAATATGCCCTTATAACTTAAAAAAGAATTAGGGACAGTCTCACTTTTTATTAATCCTCCTAAAATTACAGTATTTCTTATTTTTGGACTTATCTGCTTTAATAAATATCATAGAAACCATGACATTTAATAAAATATGATAGCTATTATAAGAAATAACTGTATTTATTACTGTTACATATCAATTTAATTATGAACATGAGAAATAAAATTAATTTATTAACGGGTTTCCTAATGCAGAACTGTAAATACAAAAACTATGATAAATATTTCGGAACTCGAAAATGGCAATCAGTTTAGTAAGTTTTTAAAAAAAAATATTTATTATGTAATTTGCAATGATTTCAATTTTTGCTTCTCAACAATGGAAGCAATATTACAAATTTCATAAATTTTATTAAATAATACCTGATAAAATTAATATTTAGCAGCACAGAATTTACATAAAGCATTTTTGCTTACTTATTACTTTCTCCCATTGTATGATTATTAAATACATTTACATATGCATATGCATGATAAATTGCCAATAAATCTCAAATTCACCATAAATTTGTATACAACATCTAAATCATGTTCACTCACATGTTAAAAGAGCTCAATTATTCTATAAAAAAAAATTCAACAGACTAACTGCTGCACCATTCCTACATTCAAACCAAGAGAAGGACACATCTGAAATCATCACCACTAAAAAGGGTAGTGAACATGCAAAATTTAAGGCAAAAATGAACATACCTGTCATTTTGTGCCTTCCCTAGGAAGCAAAGAATCAGAAAAATAGTTAGAAGGAAAAAGAAAACTCCAAAGGAAATCATTAAAATAAAACCTAGTTTCTCACATTCAAAAAGACATTACTAAGACATGCAGGATAAAAAATCATGCAAGGTTAATGGATTTTTCAAGTTAGTGGATTATTCTTACCATTTTCTTTTTTGATTTTGCAGAACTCTTGCTCTGTGGTTGTGACTGGAAGAATATAGGTAATTGAGAGTTAAAAAAGCAATGTTAGAATTTTAGGAGAATCGCCACTTTTAGATTAGTTATGGGTTTTGTTATGAATTCTCAAATTTTAAAAAAAGGCACTAAAAATACTCAGTAAACATCTAAGATGCACTTTTTTTCACATGCTACTAGAGATAACTCATTCATAAAAAGATTTTAAATATTTTTCTGCATGAAAATAACCATTTGTAACTCAATATGAATAACAGATTCAAGAAAAATTTTAATACCACCTGCCAAAAAAGAAATATTCTCTATTCTATAGAAAAATACACTCTTATTTTACTTTTCCCATACATAAATGAGGAGTTAGTGCCAGTGAAACAAATATTCATTCACAAAAAATAAAATTCATCAAAACACTCAAAGGTTTTCTCATTCTTTGATTCTTTCCTGTTTGGAAGAAAATAGTCATTTATGCTTTAATTTTAAATATTGTGTTATAAATCATTAAGAATGAATAAAATACAGTTGTTGAAAATATTTTTGCATCTAAAGAGTTCATTTCTTTAAATACTTTTTTTTAATTCATTTGCTTTTATTTCTCAAATTGCTTTTATTTTTCAAATATATCATTAATATTTGAAAGGAACTAAAATTCAATAAACTCATTTTGTGCATTTATAAAATTGGTTTCCACAAAATTAAATACCTTATATTCAAAGGTTTTATTCAACTTTCCTACAAATCACTGTATTTAAATGCTCTTATCCTGACATTTTACTGTTTGTGCAATTTCATTGTATTATTAAGTTGTTGATTCAATTCATCTATTCAAAATATCTCGAGTTATGGCAACACGTGAATTCTTTGGAACCAGAAAATAAAGATGAATACAAGTTTGATACAATCTAAAAAATGAATAAGCCTCAAAAATGGCAACTCTAATTATTAAACTAATTAATCCTTGATATTTTCTAACTAGATCATAATAAATCACAAGCCCACATTCTAATTAAAAAATAAAGGCTGTATAGAGTAATTAAGATTACATAGTATTAAATACATACCTCACTATTCACAACTGGACTCTGTATAGTAGTTGGTGAGGTTCCATTTGCTGTTGAAACCTATAAAAGAATAAAAGTGATTTCATGGGGGGGGGGGGAACACACTCAGCAAGGCAAGTAAATATTAAGTTTCTATCAATATCAAAGACAGCATAATATTCCCAAATACTTATATATTACTGCTAACTTTAAAAATTAAAAATAAATGAAAGATTTAAAACTTTAAACTTAAAATTCAAGGAATGAGGCTAAACAATTAGCTTTAATGTCAATTCTGACACACTGCATATAAACCAAATACAGTATATGTAATGTATTTATCCAAATTAATTTAAATAACCATTCTACATGGCATCATACATATGTCAGTTTAATCATGTTCTCACTTCTTTCTAAATTTGCTTAATTTTCCCTCTATTAAAGATTTCCAAACTTTCAGGGAATTTATATATGCAGTAGTAAAAATGATTATATTCTCCTGCTTTTCTTTTTATCAAACTTAAATTACTTTGCAACTAGTTGTGAGATAATTCTAAAATAATAAAAAGCATTAAAAAATATACAATTTCAAAAACAGTGTAGCGAAAACAATGCAATTCTAAAACATCGTCATTGAAAATGTCATGATAAAAAATAAAGCACCCACAAATCATTGCATGACAATAACATCGCAGATATATATTTCAAGCTTTAAAAGTTGTAAATGCACATTCGCATAATGACTTGCTAGTGCAAGAAGGAAAGAGGAACATGTTTACTTTTATATTTTTGAATTAACTAATAAAATTCTGCTGAAGAATTAAGGAAACTTAAGCATTCAAAAACTGAATGCGAGAAGAAAATTAATGCGACTTATATCAATTGACAGAATTTTATAATTTGATAATTCAATGTAAATAGAGGCAACCATATGCAGTTACTCACCTTCCTTTTTCTACACTATATTTTTCATAACTTTATAAAAGAGATTAATTAATAAATGACTTGTCAGTTAACTACATAAGTTTAAAATTCTGTTAACTGCTAAACCTGGCATTATTTTTCTACTCATTTTCAGTTTTTAAGTACTTAAATTTCCTGCTTATTTTTTCAGCAAAAAATTAGTTAATTCAATAATATGGAGTATAAAAGTTAAAACAATCCTCATTCCTTCTTGTACTCGCAAATCTTTATGCAAACAGGCAAATTTTTAAAGCCTGAAAATTCACATTTATGATGTTATTATCATGCTAAGATTAGTAGATGCTTTTCTTAACCAGGTATTTTTTTAAACCACTTTATTTTCTATGATGATACTTTGTACCATAATATTTTAGAAATGCAATGTTTTCTCCTTGCTTTCTTTTCTCCCACGATGTTTTGCGTGACGTTTTCGCCTTCCGTTGCTTTCTACACAATGTTTTAGTCGGGGATGTATCTGCCATGATGTTTTTGGCAGACAACATAAGATTACAATTAATTAAATTTCTGCTGATCAATTTTGATTTAAAAGCTTTTATTGTTAACGGGCTCACAATTTAACATTTATTGTACATGATCAAGTCTTATTTTCCAGAGAAATACAGTCTGTAATCCGGACGTCCATTATCCGGACCTCAAAGCCACAAACTTTTTTTTGTATGTTTTACGCATGCGCGTTTAATGTTTACACATGCGCGTTTAGCACAAAAAACAAAGCAACTTAAACAACTTACATTGAAAGAAATGTTTAATAAAGTAAACAAATAAATATTAAGCTTTTTTTTTTTTTTTTTTTTTTGGGTAAATTTTGATACCCTTTAGATCGTAATTGCTCTTTATTTCATAAATTAGGGTTTCATATTTTTAATTGTATAATTTCTGCATGCCATCTTACCAGATTTAAATTGATGATCTATAAACCCGGAAAAACCCTTAATCCAGAATCACCGAAATCCCGACGAGTACGGATTACGGACTTTGTACTGTATAGAAAACTAAGCTATCATAAATAACACACAGGTCTAAAGAGAAAGGGAATGGAGTAAAAAGATCTAAGATTGAGCCCTTGGCCAATTTTTTTCTCTTTGATAATTTACTTAATTTAAATATGTTTTATAAATTTAGTGCATAACAGTTAAAGTTTAAAGATCAAAACAAAAAATTAAATATGTACAAAGCATTTTTTTCTCTCTCTCCAATAAGCTTCTTATGACATTTTAGATAGGTTACCACTGCAATGGCACTACAGATACTGGTTTGAAACTCTTTATTGAAAAATCTGATAAAATGGAAATCCTGAAAAATACCATGGAGTAAAAATATGACACTTCAAGTAATTCAGGATATTAATGTGATGTACATACATACACACATATTTTAAAATAATTAGCAAAATAAAGTATTTTTTTTTTGTAATTAAGCATTAATTAAAGCTCCACTGGATCATTTTAACAAACTTACTTATCATTTTTCTTTCAACATTTTAATTGCTAAGTTTAGCTTGCTTTCCAAAGGTATTAAGTTTCAAGAACTGCTTTGTTTCTATTTTTCTTTGGTAACTGCAAATTTGCTACGATCAGCAAAATGATTTAGATAATGGCTCTTCACCAACTCTTAACTGCATATAATCAGCATATTCTATACATGCCTCTTTATGAATACATTTAAACTCCTTTTCTAATGGATTTGACTTTCAGAAATTCCTGGTAATTTTTGCAACTTCTGCATCCAATAAAAATTCCATCACAGACAAGTTTAATATCTTGAAGATTATACATCCATATGATGACACTGCATACACAACTGCCAATACAATACATGAACTGTATTGTGTTGTCAACTGAATATTGGGAGTTTGACCCAAGTCCAGTCCTAGGCTTGATTTTCTCAATGTATAACAAAAATACAAGCCAGTTTCCCTTAGGAAGTCCTCCCTTTGAGCAAAAAGCTCTAATTTACCATATTCATTAAAATTTAACTTTACTGGTACATATGGTTTTCTCAGGTCTAAAATTCAGAATTTGAGAAAGTAAGGAAGCCAAAATTTTCGCTACATACAGATCATAATTCTTACCTGAATAACATAACTTATGTCATCATATTTTCTGCTTTTATTATTCCCATTTATCACCATAATACTAAATTCTTACGAAGACAGAGGAATTTATATGTAAATTATTTACACAGGTTTTAGCTCACAGCACATTTAATTGATAATTATGAAAATTTTCAGAATTATTTACAAAATAAATTTTTAATGTTAATTATTATTCATCTTGGTTGAGAATCATTTGGCATTTAAACTGAATGCAAGCTTTCAAATAATTTTATAATTAAACCTTCATACAAAATGTACAGTTTTCATCATATATTCACATTCCATTTTCTGTAAGAGGCATATTTCGCAATTACTTACAAAGCAAATCAAGTCTAACGAAACCGAAAAATATTTTTAAACTGAAATGTCAAAATATGAAAACTGTACCTGAGCGGCTTCCAACTGGCTTTTCAACTTTTTTACCATTTCTTGCTCAGCTGTAAGAGCATCTTGACCTATTTTGACTAAGGAATTCAATCTAACCATTTGAGAAGAAAAGTCTTTGCTTATTTTCTTTTCTTTCTCTAATTTGGTCTTCAAATCTTCTATTTCCTGTAAGAACAGGTATAAAATACTTAGACAAAGAAAATCTCAGTACTCAATTTTATTGCTATAGAATAACAATATAATCTAATGAAATCAAAGATTGCAATACAACCTCCCTCCTCACCAAACAATATTTATATAATCTAACACTTTAGACACGATTATTACTTGCAAAAATTGCTGTTTTCCAAGAACAGACTTCAATACAGACATTTCACTAACCGCGAATAGCTTTTAATCAACATAATCATTTTTAGTAATCTCTTTAAATTTACTATAACCATATTAAAATATGAAATAATAAACCCCCTAAGCAAAAAGGTTATTCAAATATTTAACTCAATATTATCATGAATTAAAACTCTTAAGAAATACTGATTTTGATTACTGATTTTTATTGATCCAGGTAAGGTGAAAAGCTAGCACTTGACGGGCATGTTAAGTGGATAATGTTTATGAAAATATTTAACAAATATTTTTCAATTTAAAAAACATTTCAAAAAATAAAAAATTATCAGTAAAGACATTAAAAAAAATAAACCCAACAATATAGAACACCATACTGAAGATAAGCAAAATATTTCTCTCAGATTTTTAATGTGATCTAAAATTGTAAATTTACTACCTGAGCTATTCAATGAAAATACTTTGCTACCTGAAGAAAATTTAACATATATAAAAACAGGAAAAATTAAAAATCAATTATTAAGATACCAAAATATGTACACATACATCAATACACTGTTCCCTTACATATGCATTTTTATTATACGTAAATACTTTGACACAGATACAGAATTTGCTTTCCAATCATTAAATTATTCTATGCTATCTTATAAAATTAAGAGTACAAAATTAGACTATTGAACTAAAATTTAATAACAAAGTTGTGAAAAAACATTTATCAACAGTTTTCCACAGATCTTAAGGAAATAAAGAACACAGTTTAAATACAAATTAAAATTTTTTTAATACAGAATCTAGTACCTTCTTTAACAATTCATTTCATACTCTTAAACAAAAGGTGAGCAAACATACCTTCTTTAAACTGTCATTGCGGTTGCTTTCTTTCTGAAGCTCTAAAACCTGTTTTTCTTTATCTTCCAACTGATCTCTAAGATTTATGCAATTCTTTTGTACCTAAAAATGTACACACAGAAATATGTACTACAAATAAATTAACAGAAAATAATAAGAGTAAATTTACATTCATGATCTTCTGGTACCCCGACAAAATAGCCCAATTCAAAGGCTTCTGAACTGGGTCAGAATTTTGAAGTCTCTTTAAATTTTGTCGTATCTATACACACAGGTGATTAAAAAGGGAGTGCTGTGATGGATGCTTAAATCCATAACTATATCTTGGACACAAAGGTATTATAAAAAATATATGCATTCAAATTTGATACTGTACACATATTTACAAATTTTCATATTGACTTATTAAAAAAGTTTTGCAATCATTTGTTGAGTAGGGTGCCAAAGTAATAATTCCCACATACAGGTTACTGCAGTATACATAGTTAAAAGAAATACAGAGGGTTATTGGAGAAGTTAAACAACAAGAATCAATTTGTTTGTAAATTTTGCTGGACTAGTTTTTATGGTTTAAATACAGAACTATCGTCTTCAGCTGCCTAAGTGCAACCAAGCATCTTCTTCAGCTACCTTGTTTAACTTCCCCAATAATCATTATTTGGCATGCTATTTTAACCTAAATTATAGGAGTTCCATGCTCATATTTTGCTACCGTTTTCATTTTAGTGCTTAGGCAACTCAAGAAAATGGTTCTGTATTTAAAGCACCCTGCAAAATTTACAAACATTATGCTGATTCCTGTTGCTTAACTTCTCCAATAATCATTATTCGACATGTTATTTAACCTAAAATGTAGAGGGTGTTTACACATTTTTAGAATGATTTCAGCAGGGCCATTTAATTAACGTTCAAATTCAAAGGGTACTCTTTTTTTGGGGGGGGACTATAAGTCTGCATTGTGATTTCCATGACAGAAGGACTTTATGCAAATATTTCTAGGGGAATAGATTTGCATTCCTCTTCCACTAATTTCCACAGTCCATAAATCATGAAGACACAACAGTCCATTGGTGAAAAATCAGAGGACTTAGAAGAAATACATTGAAAAGATATACAGTACAAAGTCTGTAATCCGGACGTTCATTACCCGGAATGATCTATATTCTGGATCTCAAAGACACAAAATTTTTTTTGGATGCTTTATGCATCTGCGTTGGGAAGATGTGTCTCCAGATACCTTAAAAATGCTTGGCATAATTTATGGCCAGCTACCATATTTCATGGTGAGAATGATGAAGATGATAGCCAATGAAGGTTTTCGAACATCGCAAACTAAAGGTGAAGTTTTCCAGTTATTGGATTTGGTAAAGAAATGTGGAGAAGCGGTAATAAATAAAGATGATATAACAGAAGTTTTTCATTGCGATGACAATGCCCCAATCATCAATCAATTAACGGACGGCGAAAACTGTAGTATGGTTCTAAATCCAGAAAATATTGCTTCCGACAGTGAAGAAAGTGACAGAGAGGTTAATGAAAATGAAAAAATTTCGATTGGCAAGTTAGTCGGTATTCTCGACACAGCAATTACAGGACTTGAACAGTGGAACTTTGTAACTTAATGAGAAATTATGTCTGTTTATAGAATTAAAGAGAAAGTATTAGCACAAAAAAAGAAGCAATTTAAATAATTTATATTGAAAGAAATGTTTAATAAAGTAAATAAATAAATATTAAGCTTTTTTTTGTAAATTTGATCCTTAGACCATAATTGCTCTTTATTTCATAAATTACGGTTCCATAATTTTAATTGTATAATTTCTGAATGCCATCTTACCAGATTTAAATTGATGATCTATAATCCGGAAAAACCCCTAAACCGGAATCGCCGAAGTCCCGACGAGTCCGGATTACGGACTTTGTACTGTACATGGCATGCTAGAATTAGTCGTCATTTTTTCAAGGAATGCAATGGTACTTTTTGGAGTATTATTTGTTGCTTTATCCAGATGAATTTTCACTCTTTGAAAGTCACTGTGATAAAGAAATGGAATATTTTCTATAAATATCACAGATAAAACTTTCTCTTGATAGTACATTGAGTTTATAGTAAAAAATTTTCCCACTGTTAAGAGAATCCTATGACAATCGCAAACCCCTCAGATGGGGCCCACCAGCGGCTGAACGGTAAAGTCGCTGAACACTGGTAGTTCGGTCCAATACCGCAAATGGGCTGGTTGCATGGGCATTTTCATGTTTTTTCCCCATGTGTAATGTGTATACAAGCCACTTTTCCTTAGAAAGTCCTCCACAAAAGCATTCCTCCCCTTATGCAGATAGCCCTCGAGGATTTGCCATAATCACATAAAACCAACCAATCTTTGCATTGATGGAACCAGGTTTGTAAATTCATTCATTCATTGTTTTCAATACTAGACCTATTCTCTCGCTGCAGTCATTTAGATGAACCCATGTTTCATGAAGGGTCACAATGTATTTACATTTATCTCCCGCTTTCGTATAGGGTTTTACATACTGCATTGAACCACATGCCTCTGGTGAACATTATCATTTTTAGCTTTAAGTTGTAAATACTAATTTATTATTTTATTTATTGTAGCTACAAATACATTTAAAGACTGCAATTTATTTCGGCATTGGCCGATTTTCACATTACCAATGATATAACTTCAGAAAAATTTAAAGCAGTATATACCTTTTTCGGGTATTTGTTTGGAGTCTTCTTTCCAAACAGAAGTAGCAGTCATGGGTTTTCCCTCTCCAATTAATAATGTTGCTGACTCTTCACTCTGAAATTTAATACCATGCATTGCACAATGTTTTTGAATTTATGGAATAGGGATTTCTCTTTGGAAGGCAAAAACATATCCTTTAATCCCAAGCTTGTTTACATGTGACATTTTGAGAGATTTATAAATTTAAAAGTAGCAGATGATATTTCTAATTTTAGGTACTAATCTGTTTTTAGAAATTTTTATTCCAAAACATTTGATTTTCTTTTAATTCTTTATTGAAATGGTTCTAAAAATATGTAAACACCGTCTATATAATTCAAGTAAAAAAATTATAGCAAAGGGGAGTTTCTTTAAAATAAAAGTGACTTATCATATTTAAAAATACACAAGTAAATAAATATTCTAAATTTATTAAAACCAATAAATAATAATGTTAAGTAATCTGTACAAAAATAAAATGAATACCTCATCATATTTCTGTTCTAAATGCGACCTTTCATTTTCAGCACTTTCAAGAGTACTTTGGAGTAATTTTAATTTTTCTTGTAACTGAAATTAATAAAGATAATAAAATAATAGAAATATAGAAATAATAGAAATAATAATAAATATAATAAAGCCATTTTATTATACATAAATATGACAAATATGGTATATATCTGCAACTCATGCCTATTAAGAAAGATTAAATATATTTCAGAAATATTAAGGTTCATATTTTCAAAATGAAAAAAATGCAAGTAATATTTCTTTTTAGAATACCATTTCTATTCACAGAAATTCATACTTTTGAAATATATCCACATGTTTTATGTTAAAAAAGTTATGCTAACTGAATAGTTGTGAAATATCAAACCTACTTCTTCTAACTGGCTAATCTGTTGGAATGTAGATTGCATAGTTTCTTTTTCAGCAGCAAGGGCATCTCGCTCTGATAAAATCTAAAAATATTACAAAAAGTTTAATTATAACCCAACTACAATAAATGTGTATACCAAAATCAATATAAATGTCTTACCTGCGCCAACTCCTGTTCTTTCTTTTTTAACCTTGATTGCCATATTGCTTCCGCTGCTGCGGCCCTCTTTTGAAGATTGAGCATAATTGACTCCTTGAAAAGGAAGGGGGGATAAAATTATAATAAATGCAACAACTGACTACAAATTTGCATTTTTCAAAATGCTCATAAATAAAGAAAGGTCTTGTGATTACCAATCAAACAGGTTGTGAATATTAAAGACTATGCTGCAAGAGGCACAGACTTTATTACAGCAAAGTGGCATGGTATTAAAAAGAATAAGTAACTATGCTAAAATAACACAGTCACTTTACTAGAAAAATCTTCAAAAATAATTAAGTTCAGTGTGTAGTGCCTAACAAAACAGTCCAAGTGTTTTTACTTCATACGGAGAAAATGTTTCAGAAATCAATTCTTAATTTTTTTTATACAGCTGATCATCAGATAAGAAAGGGGAAGGAAGACTTCAGCTAATTATAATCATCATACGATAATAAAACTCTACAAAGAATTTTTCATATCAGTATAAGTAAGAGTAATAATAATTTCAGCAGGCATAAGTAATTTTTTTAAATTTATTGATAGTATATGCATATGGAAATTTGAAACACTAAATTTGAATTAAAATTATTTATTATTCAAAATTTAAAAAAAAAGAAAATTCAAATTAATTCAAAATTAAAATTAAGAAAAACTGTTACTAAGAATCTTAATTTAATTTTCAGTCAATTAAGACTTAAAAATTCACCAATATTAAATACTACCTGATTTACCACTTGCAGTTTGATGTACAGTAAATGACGAATTTGGGATATGCAAAGTCCCAAATTTTATTAATATTTTTTTTACAAAAATTAAACAAACTTATTGAGAATTAATCGAATTTACAAGAAGTCTTAGGTCACGCTTAGTGGCACTAAATCGGACTGTATGATAAATTTTTGTTTAATTTGAAACATAGTCTTATTTGCATTTCATAATGAAGTTACAAATTGCTCAACTTTATGCTTAAAAAAAAAGTTTTTAGAATTTAAAAATATTCAGGTAACTTGAGCTTTCTAGTTAAATGAATGCTGGATAGTATTTTAAAAGAAATAGCAACCGTATTTTTTTCCAATTACACTTAACGCAATAATTGTAATAAAATTTAATTCTGATTAAAACTTTGCTCTATATACGTAAGTGCTTTTATACACCTAATGTAAGAAAAAACCATTGCAGGTGTGAGATTCAAAATTTTGCAAATTATGGGTATAATAGAATTAAAAACACAGTTGTTGACATTTTGAACTCCAACCTTTAAACCAATGCAGGCTGTGAAACGCTATCTTTCCAAAGGGAAAAAAAAAAAAAAAAAAACTACAGCCATAAAATTATGAAAAGACTGTCAAATTTTGAACTTGCTTTCGTCCAATGAAAACGCATCAGTTTCAAAGGTGATGAAAAATTAAATAGAAAATAAGAGTTATTTTAGCATGTATTTTTCTATTAAAGCCCTACCAAACATTTCTGGCCCAATATTGGCACATATTTGGTTTATTTTTGTCCTCAAACTGATATTATATGAAATGACTACACACAGCAACAAAGAAACAGTCTCTAAGTTCATGACAAAATTTTCCAAAAACCCATTGTAGACAGACTATGCTATATTTCTGCTTGTGAATAGGTTTTCATAAATTCCCACAATTTTGTCGCATCCATTCATTTCAATATTAGGATGAGAAAACAAAGATGTGGCACTTACTTCTGTCATGTATCCAAGCAACCTTTGTATTGATTCAATTGGAATAAGTTTTAGTTTGCAAAATCCAATAGATTTTTAACTCTTGACACTATATATAAGTGAATCCTATATAAGTGAATCCTACGGCTGTAATAAAAGGAACAGGTAATCTAACAAATCACATTTGTGTTCAGAGCACTTTTTTCTTCCAAGCATGAAGCAAGTCCTTTGCTTACAATCACATTTTTATTTAACCCTCTGAATGACATGAACAGCTAAATTTGGCCATGAGATTTTCTGTCACTTGGTATATATATTAGATTATAATTTGAAATATTTTGCTTTCTTATGTTTTTAATAATGTAAATATCAACTTAATGAATGGAAGTTATCAAAATGAAGACTAAAATACAGTCAAAAGTCGTTAATTCGGACACCCATAATCCGGAATGATCTACAATCCGGACCTCAAAGCTAAAAACTTTCTGAACTGCCATCTTACCAGATTTAACTGATGATCTATAATCCGGAATCGCTGAAGTCCCGACGAGTCCGGATTAACGACTTTTGACTGTATGTAATTATAAAAATTTAGCAAAATTGGTTTAAATTACAGATCTTCATCAGCAGATCCAAAAAGCTAAGTCGCTCAGACAGATGAGATGGCTATTTAAAAACAATATTTCTTCATAAAGAATCTCTCCTTCTTGAATGAACAGGATAGTTACTTTTCCTCTCTTAATAAATTCCAAGTTGTAAAATGCATTGCAGTAAAAAAAACAAAAAAACAGGAAAGTAAAAAAACATATTCAAATGAAAAATGCACTTGTGTGAGTGATAGTTACAAAGGCAATTATCGCTACGAAATAAGTTAAACCAAACTGAAAACACCTCACACGAAGAAAATATGCCAGAACAAAAAAAGCACCAAATGGTATGGCTTTAATGAAACCAAAAATGATAATTTAGAGCTAATGTCTATAAATAAATGTTCATGTGTTGTTAAATGCATCTTTTACATATCTGTATTTAAAAATTTAACATAACATTTGTATTTAACATAATAATTTCACATAATAACACAATAATGTAACATAATAATTTCATTTGCATTTAACATACTAATAACATTTGCATGCAGTCTAAAAACTTGGCTGTGAAAAATAATTCACATAATTTTTAAAAATAACTCATCATTTTGATCAAAATAAGACAAAATTTTCTTTCATTTAGTTTAGCTATTAATTGGCATTTCTTTTCCTTTCAGTATTCATATAAAAAAAATTAAGTTACATACATTTTGCTTAAAGTTAGCATAAACTAAAATTTTCATAGTCTGAAGGTCTACCTTATTTGATTTATTTCTTAACTTACATGCTTATTACCAGGCATAAAAAATACATAATTTTTTAATTAAAAAATAAAAATTCCTCACTTGCCAAAATAAAGAAATACATAAAAAAATCTGATGTGTACGCCAAATGACTTCCTTGTACGGAATATTAAAATATATGCATTTTTTCCTGCATTTCATTTAAACTTAATAAATTGAATTAAAACCACTTCGTCGATAGCACATAAACCACAATAGAATACATGTACTCTTTAAAATTCACTATATTTATTTACCATTACTGGCACTCTGGCACAAGGTGCACTTAACAGCATTACATCTCATTCATTTGATAACTCAGAATGCACAAAAATTATATCATCTCAAGAATTATCTAATTGTTGCCACATGTTCTATTCAAATACCATAATAAATCAAAGAATGTATAAGAGAAATTAAACAAAAAAAGCAGTAGTTTTTCACAGACAATTCAGTGCCACTTACATTCTCCCCTATCCAAGACAGACTGGCAACATTAAAATTAATAGAAAGCTGACATCATTGAAATCTCCATATTTCTTCAATGTTTCTCTGCTACAAGCGACAAGTATGTCAGATGCTAAAAACTGCTTTGCACTCAAAAATGAATTTTTCAAGTACGAAAGGCCTTTTTCTTTTTGGTGCTTGCTAGAATGGTATTTAATTCTTTGACTTCTTTTATAAATGCACCATCTCTAACAAAATTCACTTTATGCACCCAGCACTGACAATACCCATTACAGTCTCTAACAACTATTTTCATTAAAGGTCTCTAACAACTATTTTCATTAAGTGGCAGTCATATACCATGCAGAACTTGATACTGAGTCTTCTTTTATATTCTTTCCTTGTGTATATTCCTTTATTCTGTCAATTACTCCACATGATGACCCATACTAATAAAAATTTATGATCACTAAATTTAAATACACATTTGGAAAACAAAATAAAGTGTATATACCACAGTTTGTTATATTGCCTGAACTTAATGAGTAAAATGACTTGCATATATATGCACAAGATAGTGGTAAGTAGAAGCTTAAAACAGACTCCAAAGAACATGTGATGAGTTGCTGGCCAACAAGTGGCATGTGAATTAAAATTTCTTTTCATGAGTTTTCTTCACCCAATAAGTTTAAAAGCAACATTTCACATTTTATAACTAATGCTAGTAAATTTACATTTGACTGCATCTATTTCATAAATATAAAAATTACATATTCCTACCAGTCCTTCAAAATACATATAGTCATATTATCCTTTTTAAAAATACTATATATGATTATACAACACTGGCAGAAGTACTCGATGCCAGTTAAGTTAGACTGAGAGTAATGTATCTAACAGAGAGAATGATACCACAATAATCCTTCTCTAATACCGATGCAAAAAATACTATTCATAGTCATACATTTTTCAGTCTGATGTGAAATGGAACCCCACATAAAAAATTTTGATAGAAAAATAAACTTATTCTCTCTCATTATATCAGCAACAATCGCACGCAGTTTCTAACGATTTTTGTCTTTCTAATTAAATGGTTGTAACAACTCAAGTTCCATCCAATATTTCTCCTATATTCAATTTTAGTCAATTAAATGTGGCAAACAAATTTACCATAATTAATCAGAAATCAATAATGTGGACAAATGCACAAACAGACAGTCTTCTTTATATAGAGAGATTTTGTAGAAATTACATATTTTTGATTAACAAACTATGATTTGAAAGCGAGCAATAGCAACAATTTTCGAAATACAACATTTTTATCTCCAACGTATCAGACTGTTGTCACTTAAAAATAATGAGGGCAAAAATTGGTGTTTTCAGAATTTTTAATTAATATCTCGGCTGATTAAAGTTGTACGAAGACGAAAACAGTCGAAATGGCTTCCCAAAAATTTTTGGAATTGGGACTAATGTATTTAATGTTTGGCAATGCCATTTTTATTTCATTGTAAAACTGAGAATTTTTTTATGAACAAACTCTACAATTTGAAAGCGAGCAGTGGCAACACTTCTCGAAATAAAGCAGATTTTTATCTTCAGCGTGCAAGACTGTTGCCACTCAGAAAAAATTAGGGTGAAAATTATCATTTTTCCACGTTTTTAATTAAAATTGCTGATTTTAGATTTTTTTTTTTTTTTTTTAATGGACGTCGACTTTTTCCAGGACCCAGAAGAGACCTACAAAAAGTTTGGTGATGATAGCTATAGTGACTGAGTTAATCACGAACAAACACACAGACATTCTTCTTTATATATATCTGATTACTTTGTGCATTAGGTAATCAACAAATTACCAGTGATATTTGCAGTCTAACCCAGCAACAATTCATAACAGTGATTAAACTCATACATCTTACGATATACATGGATAAGAGAAATATAAATGAATTATACATACTGTCTCTGCAAGAGCTTTTTCATAATGCTGAACCTTATTCTGTAGTTCTGTTTCCTCACCATTTGAGGGAGCAACTTGCACAGCAAGAGATGCTTGTTTTGTGTATTCCTCTAACCAAGTATCAAAAGGCTACAAAAATTAAAAAATATTTGATTTATGTAAAAATTGCTTTCAAAAAATGGTTATAATTTACACAAAATTTACATCCAAGACTCTTGCATAAAATATATGCAAAATAATTATAACAACACATATGAATATATTACAATTGACAGAGTATTCTAAATGATTCGTATATAAGAAAAGGAAGCAAAATATTTTATGAAAAGTAGAGCAGACTCCAAATACTTAAGAAATATACTATTTAGCACAATATACAATGTAGGCTTGTGGCTTTTGACAAATAAACTATAAATGCATTGAATGAAAATTTTTAGATATAGCTTATGATACTTCAGATATTGTGGGATTTTTCATATACGAATGTTAAGTGTGACTTGTATGTAAAACCAAACAAATATATATTATATAAAATGTTTGATACTTAATTTAGTGTTTTCACATGTGAGCTTTAATTTACTTATATTTTCTCTCTATATGTATATATATATATATACAGTTAAAAGTCGTTAATCCGGATTCGTCGGGACTTCGGATTATCGATTTTTCCGGATTATAGATCATCAGTTTAAATCTAGTAAGATGGCATGCAGAAATTATAAAATTAAAAATATGAGACAGGAATTTATGAAATAAAGAACAATTATGATCTAAAGGGAATCAAAATTTACAAAAAAAAAAAAAAAAAAAAAAAAAAAAAAAAAAAAAAAAAGGACTTTATTTATTTGTTTACTTTATTAAACATTTCTTTCAATGTAAGTTGTTTAAGTTGCTTCATTTTATGTGATAATACTTTCTCTTTAATTCTACATAAACAGACATAATTTCTTGTTCAGTTACAAAGTTCTGCTGTTTAAGTCCTATAATTGCTGTGTCGAGAATACCGACTAATTTGTCAATCAAAATTTTTTCGTTTTCAATAACCTCTGTGTCACTTTCTTCACTATCGGAACCGAATTATAATGATGAGGAATTTGATTTAAATCATATCAAAGACGGAGTACATCGAGATGAAATACTACATTTAGTAAGGAATTATAAGCCAAATAAAATAAAAACATCTGCCCTGAAGATAAGGACAGTGTTGACAGATCAACTTCCAGTTCATTGCGCGCCGCGACGTTCACATGACATTCTATTATGACCCAGATGACAATTTCAGCAAAAGCTAACAATTACACTAACCAACATTTTAATTACAATTAAAAGAGCACTCTTTGAACTTTATTATCTTAACCAGAAAATGGCAGTTGCAGTTAGGATCCTTCCATTAGCTCAAGGACTTGTGATTATTACAAAAGACAAACTCCAGCAAGTATGAAGATTAAGAAATTTGAAATACCTAATTCTTTTGAGAAGGAGCACACAGCAGAGCTGAATATTCTATCAGCATCACTAGCAATGGAAAAATAGTTCTAGTAAAGTTTCATACTGAACTGGCTTTCAATACAGGATTGTCTGAATGGTGATTCAGAAATGCTTCTAATATTCAGCATCTTCTAGAGCTACTGCACCCAATTTCAGAAAGCATTTCAATTATGAATTCGAGAAAACTGAAGAAACTAACAACTGACAATCAGATGTCTTTCGGATAAATAAAGCCTATTTCATTCTCATTAAGCTCTATAAGCAAACATAATTGCAGAATATGTGAAATAGAAGAAAGTCCACAGAACTCCTTAGCATCAAAATCAAATGCAGTGTTTTGTGCAGACTCATTTCAACTTCTTAAAACATGATTATTTTCTACAGAGAAAGTCTGCATATTTGGTTTTGAAACAGCCACAGGTTAATGTTTCAGTCACCTGTTATAAAACAGCACTATTTCTATCCTAGGAGACAAATAAGCATAGGACATCATGACATACGAGGGCCATCCAGGAAGTAGATTACGTTTCCGTCTGTGTCCGCTAGGGGCGGGGCTAGCGCGGCCATCTTGGGGTCAGAGCGTTGCGCAGCTCAGTCTGCATCTAGCCGTGCTAGTGAGAGGTTCGTGCTGTGCTCCGTTCAGATACTGTGACGGTTTGAAATGTCTGCGTTAATTGAAAATCCCGCGAGCTGCGAGGTGCGCTCAGTAATAAGGTTTCTGACTGCAAAAAACTGTAAACCGATAGAAATCTATCGGCAGCTTCGTGAAGTGTATGGGGACAACATTATCACTGAAGGTGGAGTGCGTCAGTGGGTCATAAGATTTCAAAATGGCCGAACCAATGTTCATGACGAAGATCGAAGTGGGAGACCCAGCATAGTGACCGCCGAACTTCTCGAAAAAGTCGATGCTAAAGTCCGTGAAAATCGAAATTTCACAATAACGGAACTTTCTTTGAGTTTTCCCACAAATTTCGCGAAGTTTGTTGCACGAAATCATCAGCGAAAAGCTTGGTTACCACAAGTTTTTGTGCAAGATGGATTCCAAAAATCTCTGACAGAGGACCACAAAAATCAGCGAATGGCTGCAGCGTTGAACTTTTCGGACGCTTACCATAAGGATGGTGACTCTTTACTCGATCGCATCGTTACTGGTGACGAAACATGGGTGAAACATGTGAACTGTGAAACGAAATTGCAATCAATGCAGTGGGGGCACACACGTTCTCCCCAAAAACCCAAGAAATGCATGCAAACAATGTCGGCAAGGAAGATGATGGCGACTGTTTTTTGGGACAGAAAAGGTGTAATTTTGGTGGACTTCCTGGAAAGAGGCACTACAATAAACTCTCAAAGGTATTGCCAAACTCTCCAAAAACTCAGAAGAGCAATTCAAAACAAGCGCAGAGGAATGTTGAGCTCTAAGATCTTGTTGATTCACGACAACGCCCGGCCCCACACGGCAAATGTCACTCGTAAAGTTCTTGAATCTTTTAAGTGGGAGTTGTTTCCTCATCCGCCGTACAGTCCCGATCTGGCACAGAGCGACTTCCACCTATTCCCAGCAATGAAGAAGTGGCTGGCTATGCAGCGTTTTGATGACGACGCACAGCTGCAAGAAGAGGTAACGAAGTGGTTGAAGGCGCAGGCGGCCGAATTTTTCGACGAAGGAATTTCCAAGCTCGTACATCGCTACGATAAATGCCTTAATTTGTATGGTGACTATGTAGAAAAGTAGTATTTGAGTGTGGCTTTCATCTGTATATAATAAAATTTGTTTCCTATACTTTGTTTATTTTTTTATTCCAAAACGTAATCTACTTTCTGGATAGCCCTCGTATATACAAGATACCTTGGTTTCCTGACTCAACAATTGTTAATTTTTGTTTATGAAATGACTGAAATCATAAGGACACAGAGACTATCGAACATCATTTGTAATCCTAAATTATAATCTCATAACATATATCAATAATCCCTGCAAGAACGCTGTTTCAAGTTGACTAACAATGCAGCTCATCTTCAAGCAGTGTTCACTCACCAGAATCCAAGTGGTAAAAGTCACTGAACATTGGTAATTTGACCAGAGTTTGATTCCAGGTGAACAGGCTGGCTGCATGGCTGTTTTTGTGGTTTCCTGCATGTGTAACTTAGATACTAGCCAATTTCCCCTAGAAACTCCTCCAATAAGACATTCTTTGCCTTAAGCAAATAATCCTCACATGTTTTACCAAAACAACAATAGTATAAATTTTAAAATTTTAAGCAGTATTCAGTGATGATGGTTGCCATATATTACAGAAAGAAATTTTGTTATGTTGTAAATTGACCTTGTGGATAAATTAAACATTCATTATAATGATAAAATTTAAGTTATGTAAATCAAGCATCACTTGGTGATGTGATTGTTAAAAGTATCTTCATGTTAAGATTCTTAAAGTTATACTTTAACAGAATTCCGAACAAACTGTGAAAATTTGAAAATTCAACATAATTTCTTTTAAAAATTACACAATTTTGCATCACCGCATTTCACATCTAAAAATTATTTTTGGGGGAAGGCAAGAAAATCAAAAGATTGATACAAGGTTAATAAAAAGTCACTTTACTTACTAGAGAACTGTCTATAACTATATCTGGATGTATCCTCTGCAAACATGCCTTTGCTTTTGACTGTGTCTCTGAAACTTCTACTTTTAATTCCTGTAAAATGCAATTCATTTTTTGCAATGTACATTCTTAAAGCATGTAATTATTTATTCAAATATAAAAAAATACCAACAACAGACAAATTATCATAAAAAGTAGATTCCAATATATTTTTTTCAAAAAAATTGACATCTTTTTCTAAATCTAAATTTTCTATTAAAATAGACAAACATATTGCAGAATAACTGCTGTGTGGTTTACCTAGTTATAAAAATCAAAGATACTGAAAGCAAAAAAAAAAGTAAAAACTTTTATGTAAAAAAAAAAGTAAAAGAATACTGCGGGATTCAATAATACCAAATTATGTCAAACATACACAAAATTAAAAATATGCGAAAGTAGTAAATTAAAAATTGAGAGACCTAGTTGGTCAAAAAAACTGCGCATTGAGCTGCAAATTTTAAAATAAGATTGAAATGAAAATGACAGTTAAAATTAGCTAAAGCTTTAAAGTACATTTGATGCAGCTAATTCCAAAGTTTACATGTAACACCAAGTTAAAACAATTACACTAAACGAAAGCAATAAAATTTACACAAAAAAACTACTGAAAATACTACAAAATTAATACAGTCAAAAGTCGTTAATTTGGACAACCCATAATCCGGAATGATCTATAATCCGGACCTCAAAGCTAAAAACTTTCTGCGCATGCGGCGCGTTAACGCATGCACGTAAGACCTTTACGACTGCGCAGAATACGTTTTCGCGTGCGCGTTTAATGTATAACTGACGGTATAAGCTAAAATTATCTAATTATCTATTTCAGTTAATGTTGATGATTGCGTTGTTCCTTAATCTTCGAATTGGATCCGGCTTATTATTTTTTGCAGTCCGTAAGAGCAATTTTATAAAAGTAAACTTCAACTTTCGATTATGTCAAATAGAATTTCCGATGCTGAAGCTCCCAAAGAATCTACAAAACGAAAGTATGTTTCGATGTCCATCAAACAAAAAGTGGAATTGCTCCAAAAAATGGATAAAGACATATCCTTTGTTTATCTAACTGTTCCGAAATCTGTTTATCAATTTCACGCTGCTCTGCGTGGGGTGGGAGGAGGGGGAACGTCGCGGCACGCAATGAACTGGAAGTTGATCTGTCAGCACTATCGTTATCTTCAGGACAGATGTTTTTATTTTATTCGGCTTATAATTCCTTACTAAATGTAGTATTTCATCTGGATGTACTCCGTCTTTGATATGATTTAAATCAAATTCCTCGTCATTATAAATATCACGAATACAAATCAAATAGTTTTCTGGTTGCAATTTTCTAATTTCGGCTATGCATAATGTTTGCTTTACGCATGCGCGCGTTGAAAGAAATGCTTAATAAAGTAAACAAATAAATATTAAGCTTTTTTTTTTTTTTGTAAATTTTGATACCCTTTAGATCATAATTGCTCATTATTTTATAAGTTACGGTTTCATATTTTTAATTTTATAATTTTCTGCATGCCATCTTACCACATTTAAACTGATGATCTATAATCCGGAAAAATCGATAATCCGGAATCGCCGAAGTGCCGACGAGTCCGGATTAAAGACTTTTTACTGTACTTTGAAAAAACTAAAAAAAAATATTTTTTTTAAAATTTATACAACAAAATCAAATTTAGTACAGTAAAAAAACCTAAACATTTTAAATACAGAGAAATTATATATATATAAGGGGGGAATAAAATTTCAATTCACTTAGTTCGAGGTTTCAGACAGATCTTATCAAGGAAAAAGTGCCTGAAATCTCCACTTAAGCTAATGACATAGGCACGTTTTGTCGAACCAAACCATTGAAACTGAAAATGGTAATCCATTTATAAAATTATTAAATTCATTCATCTTATTCTAGCGTGGTCTCAATAGTTCTGTCCCTTTTCCCAACGAGCCTGTATTTTAAAATATAAAAGATCAAAGTTATAAACTAATACAAGAAAAAAATTTTTGCAATCAAAAAAATTTTTTAATTTAAAAGATGTAAGAAAAAACTTATACAACGTAGCCTGGGATGGCAAATGTACAACCAAATTAAACAGTGTAAAACTTGCAAGTATTAAATATACATCATTTTAAGGGTTAGCCCTATAAACGTAATAAAACTTGTTCAAATTAAAAATAATGACAAATAAAAGGGGTCCTGCTAAGACCAAAAGGCAAAGAATTACTAAGAAAAAAGACCAACATACATGTATCCTATATGTTAGCTTTCTAAAATTAAACTGAGCTGAAAACATAGAAAAAGGCTGCCAGAAAATGGCATACACCTAATGAGAGCTACCAGAATAGAAAAACAGCCAAATTTCACCAATTGGGTAAAGATGGCATAGAAGAAAGGTGCGTATTTGGTGTTGATGTATTTAATTATGGCAAAGAACACTACAGCTATCTGCCTAAGGGCAGGGATGCCTTCGTGGAGGACTTTCTAAGGGAAACTGACTCGTATACACGTTACACATGGGGAAAACCACAAAAACGCCCATGCAGCCAGCCCGTTCGCAGGATTCGAAGCTCAGACCGAACTACTAGTGTTCAGTGGTTTTACCGCTCCTTGGCCACTGGTGGGCCTGACATAGAAGAAAGCAAACGTAATTTTGCAGTAGCCAATGGTACTTACTACTCGGTCTGTGGTGGAAAACATTGGGGGCACAGAACTTACAAGTTACCATAAATCATGCTAATAATTCAGTCGTGTAAGTTTTTTTCAACACAAGCTGTTTAAAAGAAAGTTAATGCTGTTTATGTGAGTAAAAAAATTATTTCCATTTACTAAATATGGTGGATATATAAATTAGAGATGGAACTAATCCTCAATTTTCTTGAAGCTAGAAAATTCTTAATTTTTTTAATCTAAATCCTTAATATAAAAAATGAAATCGTACAAAAATAAAAAGTTAAAAGAAAAACCTTTACCTAATATTCAAAATTTTGAAAACAAGCAAAATTTTAAAACCTGGTTATAGAAAAACAAATTTAGGAGTACAATTTTAAAAAAAATCCTATATTAATTACAGAATTAAAATTTATAAAAAACATAATCCAAAGGCTTGGGCATTAATTTTTCTTCTTACAATTTAACAAAAATATATTTTAAAAATAAGTGTAGAGAGGACAGGCTTCTTAACAAGTTAACAGAAATAAATACGAAATTTGGAATGTAAAGTTCTATTCTGAAAATTAAAGGTATCATAATTATAGGATGCTACAAAGGAACTACTTGATAACATGGACCTTATAAGATATAGACTAACCCAGTGGGCGGGGCGCGCGTCACCGACATGTCAGCAAGAAAGAGTAGGCACGATCTGGTTTACTTTAACACTGAAACCTATGGTGTTTGTATTACATAACTCTTTTTAATTATTAAACGTGATACGTTGTATAGTGATAAGATTATGAAAGTCACAGTTTTTTTCAAATAGGATTTAATATATCTCATTAAAGCATTTTTTTCACTGCGTAATTTCGTGCATTGTTTTTCATGCGTAACATCTTGTACAAACACCTTTTCTTTGGTAAAACACTAAAAACTCTAAGCACACAACATTTATGAGACTTAACGTTTGAGTACAAATAAAGTAAAATTAAATGAGACTGATAGTACGTACGATAAAGCTTTGAAATAAATAAGGTAAAATTAAACAAGATCTGATAATTTTTTTTTAAAATTTTAATGAAGCATTTTCAGGCAGTGAGTGATTTTCCAAAATTACTATAACATTACAAAACGATCATATTTATTTGATTATATGATCATTAAATTATTAACATTAAAGTGGATTAGTTATTTTAATAATTCATAAAATTCGGAGCATAAAATTTTCTGAGCGTAATGAAGGAACAAAAAAAGAAAATAAAATCTAGAAGCACTCTTTTTTTAAAGTTTTGTGTGTTACCTACTGTAATGACCTTACAGATGAATAAGGCACCATAAGGAAAACGAAACAAACATTTATTAAAAATTAACGTTCAAAGAATAATGGTAAACTCAGAGCACTACCTCGCTCCTACAACATAGTTAATCTAGCACCTGCCTCCTCTGAGGCTAACATGCAACTGTCGTCTCTTTCACTTGCTGGGCTCTGGCAGGCAGCTGATTGGCTCACCGCAGCCAGATACATGACACCTATATTTATTAAATATCATGTTCTTCGCCCGTAAACCACATACATTTGAAAACAGTATATCCGTACATGCTCGCTCTGAACTCGCTGAGTTTGTTAATCAAAAATTCGTTAAAATTTTACAAAATGTGAAATAGATTAAAACAAATTCGAAATTCGGCCGTCCAGATGCCTATGTTCGGGTGGAGGATTACATTATTCAAAATTCGATGGCTCTAGATACTGTCATTTTTGTCACAGTGTGAGAAACATACATGTATTCATGCATGGGCTAATAAATTAAATTAACAATAAATAAAAAAATCTTATGCAGAACTAAAAATAAATTTAAAAAATAATCATTATAAAATACAAGCAAAATTAATTATTACGGTTTTAATACAATTTTAATATTAGAATTAAATGTATAAAATTATTAAGGAGTCAAAAGTGTTTATCACTATGATGTATTATGAAATATAATTGAAATAAAATTCCCTTATAGAAATTGTGCTATAATACTCATCTATAATTTTAAAAAAAAGCAGCACAATTTAGAATTTTAAACAAAACTTTCAAAAATTCGTTTTTAAATATTTTAATATATTTTACTTATTTACAACCAATAAAAGCATAAAAAATTGCAAGAGAAAATTACTTGTTTGAAATTTTCTATTAGTTCAGATTTAAAATATTATTTTCTAAAAGAAGTAGTTACAAATTTCCTTACAGCATAGGAAGAGCTAAAAAAATATCCGAGGTCCTGAAAGCATGCAATAGCTTTTATAATTATTTGGAAATGTTAATTATGCTTCAATAAATATGCTACATTTTTAAAAAATCAATCTCAATTTCAAAAATAAAAACATGTAGAAATTCTAATTTGTGAAATAAGGTGCTACAACCAGCTTTTTCTTGACAATTATACACGCTGCAATAGGCAATCAATGTAAATTTCTGGAAGTCGTCCCTACTCCACCGGATGTGATGAAGGTGACAGCAGGCAAAGGCCTCAGACAAGGGAGAAAACCCGTTTGGGTTAGTCTATTTCTTATAAGGTCCATGCTTGATAATCGCTGATTGTGTCCACGTGTCCCCAAAGGCTTGTAAATAGTTTCAGGGTTAACTTTTATTTCAAGCCCATCTTTTGAATTTGCTGCAAATTTTACAGCACTAATTTTTAGCTTTTGTTGACTTTTTGTAGAATAAAGAATTCCTTTGTCTTAGCTTAAAACACAATCCAGATTTCACTGCGGTTTGAACAGTTCCACACAATTTTCCATAATTTTAACACATTAAAAATAGTTGAATGCTTTGCATCCAGGATTTTTTAATACTTTGAATACTTTTATCATACTTTAAAATTGTGAAAATGGAATTCACCATTATCTTTCAATTTCTTGTTATGTTTACTTCAGATATGGAACAGATAATATATTTTGCAAAAGTAATCATTCCAAATACAGACAATTTCACATATTTTTATTTAAAACAAAATGTCTTCCAAAACATTTTGACAAAATTTTCAATTTTCCAAATTATTACACGAATTACCTTTTGACACTTTTGTTTTGGAATAAATTTTTTTATTGCAAATATTATTTTGATATTTATTTTTTTTATTTATTTTTTAATAAGCAAGGCCTTAAAGGGAAAAAATAATGCATTAGAAAAAAATTTCTAGTCTGCGTTTCAATACTTAGTACAAGATCTACAAAAATAAATTTTAAAAAAAAGCAAGGAGATGAAATCAAATATGAATGACTGTAAATACGTAACAGAGAGCGAACAGTCTTCAATACACATAATGCTGTGCCAGGCACAGTTGATTAGTACTTCAGTGAACCATTGAGACTGCATTAGCCACAATTAAGTAGACCCACTTTGGTTATTATCCCAAAAATGTTTATGTCAGTCTATAAAAGAAATATGACCATGCTGTAGTATGTTCCCTTTTTGCTGTCATAGGCACTTGTTAATGCAGCAGTGTATGTGCTAGACTGAGTTTTTAATTTTTAAGTTCCTGCATCTAAAGAAGAGTATGAAAATATCAAGCATTTTTCAGTTGAGAGGAGGCTATATGTAAATATTGGTACAAAACCTTATTAGAGATTAGTATGAAAAACTATATAGTCTCATGAAAATGGAAGAGATATTCTATTAAATCCTAAATTTAAAGAAAATTACAGAACTTCTTAAACAAATGGAATTATTCCAATAAATAGTTATAAAGTGAATAATTTCTTACAGTTGACAGAATTCTACCTATTCTTCTAGCTCTTAAATGTGAACTCAAAAACTCGGATAGCTATAAGAGAAGAAATGCAAGATCTTCAAATTAAGCACTTGGTGGCTTTATATATGAGTGTAAGGTGAAAAGTTCTCGGCCTGACAATGAAAAACTGACTTTCAGTTAAAAAATGATTTTATTTTTCTACATAATCTTCCTTGACTTCAATGCACTTGGTTCAGCATTTCTCCAACATCAGTATTCCTTCCCGGAAGTGAAAGGTTGTGAACATATTCATCTACGACCCTCTCAACTTCTTCACTGGATGCAAAGAGCTTCCCAGAAACAAATTTCTTCAAGTCTGGGTCTTAGGGGTGCCAAATCAGGAGAAAAGGGGGATGGCCAAGCAAATTGTATCCCAAATTCCGTGGTTTTCCCATCGCCAACACACCCTTCTGTACAGGTGAAAAAATGATTTTTTTTCCTTCTTTAAGCCAGGCCTCTTTTCATGAATTTTGGCATCCAGCTGGTCAAAAAGGTTGGAGTGATATTCATCTGTAATTGTTCTCCCTTTTGCAAGGTATCAATTAACAGGATCCCTCTCACATCACAAAATACACTGGCCATGAAATTTCTGGCAGATGCAATTGACTTCACTTTCTTTGGCACTGAACCACTGGCTTTCACCCACTGATTGGACTGCTGTTTCGTTTCTGGTGTGTAGTGATGGACCCATGTCTTATCCATGGTGACAAATCGGTGCACAAAATCGGTCTAAAGATTGCTGCAAAAATTGTTTGTGCATTTGCTTTTGATTGGCATTTAGCAAATGTGGCACCCATCTTACACGGAGCTTTTGCATCCCTAATTCTTTATGAAAGATGTTTCAGACCCTTTCTTCCGATATTTCAGCTATCTCACACACCTTCACTCGCCTATCATCTAACACAATATCATGCACTTTATCAACGGTTTCTGGTTGGTTGCAGTTTTGGCTGTTCTTCATCACGTGGATCACCTTTGAGGGATATGAGACTACATATAAATGCAGCTGCCCACTTTTTAACGGTTGACATGGAAGAAGCAGAGTCTCCATAAATTTTTTTCAACTTCAGATGAATTTCCTTAGGGCTTAACCCATCCAAATTAAAGAATTTTATGATTGCACAATATTAAAGTTTACCCATTTTACCAAATAACATGCAAGACGTCTACTGCGAAAATTTGTGTAAACAAACTACTTGAGAGAACATGCTGAAACTTGTCATATGAACTAATGACACCTGCACCCAGGCAGGATATCAATTTTAGCTGATTGGAGCACCCTTTCTGGGTCAAGCCAAGAAATTTTTCACCTTACTCTCATACCTTTCTTTTAGGGATGTGATCTTTTGTGGTTTCTGAACAGTCTCTCAATAAAAAAAATACTTTTGTCATGAGAGAATTTAATTGTAACATGATATATATATTAGATTCATATATCATTTGGCAGGTCCCTAACTGCATTATTCATACAACTATTCCTCTAACAAAAAAAAAAAAAAAAAAAAAAAAAAAAAAAAAAAATCAGCACATAAGCATTTCAAAAATGTGAATGCTTCAAAAAAGCAATTGAAAATTTTGAAGGAAAAATCTGTGAATCGATGCTCATTCTCTCACTTATTTGTACTGATGTTAATACATAGCTACTAAGAGGTGGAAATAAACAAAAATTACATTTGGCACATATTTGCAACTGGTGCCCCATAAAGAAAAAACTACCAAATATTCATATACTCAATACACTCTACTGATAATAATGAAACTTAGAATCATGCTTATTCAGAGCTCTTAGGTATATCAGAATATAGCTTCATGTTTTAATGATCAACTATTGTTAACTAAATAACTATTTACCTGAAAAAACTTTTCCATTTCAGATATCCTTAACTCTGAAGATTTGTTTAGAGCACTTATCCTATCAAGTTCAGACTCTAATTTCTTATTCTTTTCTAGTTCATTATTATAATCAGTCAATCTTTTAGCTGCTTCATCTTCAGCTTTTGTGGTTCTCTTTGAAAGTTCTTCAGTCTGTGCACTATTACTAGTATTTTGTAGTTTTTCTTCATATTCCTTTCGTACTTGCAAAAGTTTCTGTTCTGAAGAAGTTTGAATTTCTTTTATTTTTAGTTCAGCACTTTTTTCTGCATTTGTAAGGGCATCCATGGCTTTCCAATTTTTTTCTCTTAATTCCTAAATAAAATAGAATTTGATTAATAAAAAGAAATAAATATTAAAATATTCATCTTAAATGAATAATTGTAAAAACTTTTGTTACCCTTCTCCCTTAACATTGGAGAAAATAGATATGCAGGTTTATGCAAATAAAATTATCCCTCATGATGAAAATTAAAATTTTTAATGTTTTATAAATATCTAGTTAACAAATTGCTTTTTGATGTTGAAAATGAATACTATGATATCACCTTAAATTTATCTTTTGTGAAATGGCAACTTATGGCAATTTGTTTACTTTTGACTTCTTCACGGTTGAATAAAGATATAAGTGTGTTATAGCTCCGTTTTTGTATTTAATTTAAATTAACACCATAGTACCAAAGGGAAATTTTATTATTTTAGGGCCACTTTACATTTTGGCACTTATTCATTGATTTGGACAAGTATAACTTCTTATACAGATGATTCTCTTAATCTCCACTGTCACTTTATGCTGGCAATACATGTAGTTTATATATTAATATCTGAATACTCTTAACAGCACATTACACTACAAAGTCCAAAATTCAGAATGGTCGGGACTTTGGCAATTACAAATTTCTGGATTTTACATAGTCAGTTTACATCTTGTTAGATAACATCTATGCATGGCAACATCGGAATTATATATTATTAATGTCTGAATACTCTTAATAGCACATTACACTACAAAGTCCAAAATTCAGAATGGTCGGGATTTTAGCAATTACAAATTTCTGGATTTTAAATCGTCAGTTTATATCTTGTTAGATAATACCTATTCATGGCAACATTGCGGCTTATTATTTAAGTCAGATTTAAAAAAAAAAAAAAAAAAAAAAACCTGCAGGGCCAGGGCCAGTACAAATTAGGTAGCATTTAGAAGCAAAAATTTTTTAATTTAAATGAGCATCAAGCAAAAAAAATTAGACAGCAAAATTTCAAGAATTTAAGAGGTAGTGAGCAGCAGAGACTCACACAGACTGCACATGCGACCAGCAGAGATTGCACTGATAGTAAAGTTTGTACTGCCGCCCTTGTTAGCCCCACACAAACATTATGGGCTGAAAATGTGATCCTAGCCAATATCAATACAAACTTCAATCTATATCTTATTACTAGCCATGGAGTGACTCCCAAGTCATCAGGCATTATGCAGGAATCTCAGAAGTCCAGATGGGAGAGGCACATTTAAAGCACAACGGCTTCCTTGAGTATTATATACGCCTTTCATAAACTTCATAAGTAGAAGGTTGCTCATTTTATTTATTTTTGGCTCGTGGTCCAGATATTCGATATCCAGATTTTGGACTCACTACTGTAGTATACAAACTTACATTTAGATAAAAGTAAAAAGATTTGCCTCATGGACATCAAAGTTAGATAAATATTTTATGTTGAAGAAAACCTTGCCACTCCAGTCAAATCATGAGTAAAATACATTTCATGGATAAAAAGTATATCAGATTAGTTTGGAAAGAAGTGTAAATAAAAAGGAAACAAATTTAAAATGTAAAATAAGACTAATAAATAAAATTATAAAAAACATACATTATTTTTTTGCTTCTGATTTTCTATTTCTTCACTAAGAACAGAAATTTTTGCTTTCTGTTTATTCAGATCTTCATTTAATTGAGTCAATAATACTTCTTTTTCCTTAAGCCTAGGAGGTGGGGAAAAAAAAAAAAAAAAAAACTTTTCAGATTTCAGAATACATTTATTCAGATTAACTTGTATCAAACAATAAAATGCTTACAATTTATCTTTTTCTTCTATGGACTTCAATATATCCTCATCTTGAGCCTAAAATAAATTTTATATATTACACCATAAAGCATTAAAAATCATAATATGATTAAAAAGTTAAAATAATATATATTCTACTCTTAAATTTTATAATGTATACCTTTCCATTCACTTCTCCATTCTGATGAACAATTTCCTGACCATCACCAGCAACTCTTTCTTTGGTGGACACTAGCTGTTCAGCAAGTCTTTCATTTTCTAATTTAAGCTCCTTTACCTCAGCTTGTAATTTATTTAATTCTGAAATCTTGGTCAAAAGTTGCTTTGCCTGACTTTCTAAATCAGCACAGCGAATCTTAAAAAGAAAAATAAATTTTTCATAAAAACTATAATTAATTATTTAAGTTTTATAAACTTAAAACCATACACAAAAAATACCACTACTTTCTTTTCTCCTTTGAATAAATACACTATTATTCAGTAATATTTATTCAAATCTATAAATTTTAGCATTTTTTCATGCTGTACTCATTTCAGGATGACAATCTCCTTTTTTACCAACCTTGAAATAAACATATTACTATTCAAATTTATAAATTTTAGACTTATTACAATTAGTGTAAAAAAATTTATAGTTAGTAGTTAAAAGTATTTAAAAAAGTACCTGTTCAGCTTCCACTTTTTCTTTTAATACTTGTTCAGACAGTTCAAGTACAGCCTTAGACTCCTTTAGCACTTCTATATCTTTCAACAAGGTCTCATTTTTTGCTTTAACTTCATTTAATCGAGTTTCAGCATCATTTATTTGGGCTTTAAAGTTTTTCAAATCATTTTTATGAGTTGAAACAAGCTGAGTATGTTGTTCTACTAAAAGATTATGAACCTTTTGCAAATCTTCTTTTGATTTCTTCAAAGCATCTATTTCGGTTTTTGTAACACCAATACGTGACCTATAATATGAAAATATTTAATATTTGCATATTCTCCAGCCATACAAGATATTTTACAATTTTGAAAAGATATAATACTCATTTATAATTAAAATGATAACTCATAATATTATAAATAATATTGTTATATGTATAATAATATTTATAAATCAAATTCAAGAATAAAATCAACTTAATTTATCAATTGGCATTAAAGTACGAAATTTTTAAAAACACTTATAACAGTTCCACATATTTTAAAAATTAGCAACATTTTATTTAAATTTTAGCTTTAGGGTCTTTTTTCTTGTTTTAAATGCCTCCTTTTGTCATGCACTCAGTCCAGAGGTTTATCCAGATTTTATGTCCAGCAACATAGGTTAAAATGAGAAGTAAAATCACAGTCAGCAAAATTTGTAACAGAAGGCTGGCTGTTGCCACCACTGCTGCTTCCCAAGACAGAGCGCTGCTGATCTAAACAGGTATGAGCACCTGACATTAGCACAGTTGTTAGCATTGAGAGTTAACTGCACTTTATCTCGGACACCTAGTTAATGTTTTAGCTTCACACAGAGCTGTTAGCTGTAACCCAGTTAATATATTGCAAACTTCCAATAAGTCATAGAAGCACCAGAGGTGATAAGTTTTATTGCGTACAGTCTCTTTAGTTGTAAGGAATAAAGATTTATGTTCACTTTTAAATTTTAATTTTGTACATTGCATATACAGAAAGGATTAAGTAATGGCAATACCTCACTTTTATGTAGAGATAACTTCTAAGATGAGCAATCAGTTACATATAATTAAGTGATTAGATATCCTTAGTAGACATAGATTTACATGGCCACCATTAAAATATCCATTAAACAAAAATTTAAATATATTAAACAAATTATTAAAAACACAAATTACATGTATAATTTATGACAAAGACTATTAGGATAATATACTAAAACATGTATGTTTTATAGCAATAACACACAACAAATTATTTATCTTTTTTACTTGAAAATTTTTCAGACATTTTAGGTAATTTATATCAATTGCCTTTTCTATAGCATCCTTTCAGGTTTATTCATTTCAATAAACAAATCAAAGTTTCCACTAGTCTGTTCCATCTTCCAATCTGTTAGTGTTTCAACAATACAGTATACAGTCTTTAATCAGGAATGATTTATAATCTGGACCTCAAAGCTACAAACTTTCTGTGCATGCACAGCGTTTACACATGTGCATAATACGTTTCACATGTGCGTTTAATGTATAACGGACGGTATAAGCTAGGCTAAAATTATCTAATTATCTATTTCAGTCAATGTTGCAGATTGAGTTGTTCCTTAATCTTCTAACTGGATCCAGCTTATTATTTTTTGCAGACTGTTGAGCAATTTTATAAAAAGTAAGCTTGAACTTTCAATTATGTCAAAAGAGTTTCCGATTCTGAAGCTGCCAAAGGATCTACAAAGTGAAAGCATGTTTCGATGTCCATCAAACAAAAAGTGGAATTGCTGCAAAAAATGGATAAAGGCATGAAGAAAGTGACAGAGAGGTTAGTAAAAACTAAAAAATTTCGATTGACAAGTTAGTCGGTACTGTCGGCACAGCAATTACAGGACTTGAACAGCGGCACTTTGTAACTGAACAAGAAATTATGTCTGTTTATAGAATTAAAGAGAAAGTATTAGCACATAAAACAAACTTAACTTACATTGAAAGAAATGTTTAATAAAGTAAACAAATAAATATTAAGCTTTTTTTGGTAAATTTTGATACTATTTAGATCATAATTGCTCTTTATTTCATAAACTATGGTTTCATATTTTTAATTTTATAATTTCTGCATGACATCTTACCAGATTTAAATTATGATCTATAATCCGAAAAACCCCTAATCCGGAATCGAAGTCCCGATGAGTCTGGACTAAAGTACTGTATAGTTTTGAAGAACAAATTCTTCCTCTTTGAAATCAACTTCAACTGTTACATATCAGAGCTGATAGGACACAATCAGACCTCTCTGAACCATATATACAAATCAATGCAAAATTCCATGCATTTGAATCTATGCTCATCAAAAAGAGATCAGTATAGAATATCACTGGTGCTATTTTTGTACAAATTTACAAAACATTCTGATGCTGAATATGTAGATCTTTTCAACGTCTGTTACCTGACAGCAAAATACTTCTGCGATTTCTATAATGGTTATGAATAACAACAAAATTCAGAAATAAGAATGTTACTTTGGTAAGCAGCTGATCTTTTTGTATCCATGAAAACTGTATTTATGACTGACAATGAAGTGCTCAAAATCAAATTGCATTTAACACACGTGTGCTGATTTCCAAGAATTTTTGTATTATAGATCTTTCATTTTGAATAATGTAACTACTTGAGGGACAAAGCATTTGTTGGTTGGTAGACAGCAATAAACGCCCTCTTCTGCTACAGAAAATTAAGTCAGTTTAGCTTCTATGTTAGATACAGTAGCTTTCTTCATCTGATTCAAATTTAAACTATAGATCTATGCTTTCTTATACATCTCTAAATGTAAAAACACAATTTCATAAATATTATTATTCCAGTCTACAGTGGTGTGATATGACATTGCAAAGTGTTTTCTGCATAGTCTGTATTCCTGATGGGCTTACAAATTTGCTAATTTTTGATCCCTTGCTAATGTAAGTGATATAAACGCATAAATTTTTAAAATAATATGTAGTTGGTTAATGAACTAGTACCAATACTAATTGTTAAAATACATACATTATGTATCTTAATAAATATATTATGTGAAGTGGTCCGTAATAGTTTATTACAAATCATCATATTTACATTTAGCAACAAAATCACTATTTATAAAAATTTAAGTTCAAAATCTTTAAAAATTTGAATATCAAATAATAAAGCAATACTAAAACTTATCCAATATAATGTAGTGCAAAAATTTTCACAAAACTTACTCAGCTTCCAATTTAGCCAGTTTTTGCTGGAGTTTAGCTTTTTCCTCTTCGACATTCTTTATAGCAGCTTCAATTTTTTCTTCAGCTTGTTTTTCAATCTAAAGATAGATATTTTATATTAAAGCACTATAAACTAAATAATATTTCACATAAAGCTGTCAGTCAAATTTAATTACAGCAGGCACTGTTCAGTGTGATCATGGTTAATTTTATCATTCTGATAAAGTCATCGAATAGCCAAAGTCCTGTCCGTTTGCATGTATAAACATGAAAAATGCATTGTTATATATGTTATGTATATGCATGTTATATATGTAACTATCTATTATTATTTTTAATCATAACTGTAATATAGAATAGTGGATGAGCAATGTAGAATAAATGATGTTTGTGTACATCTTGTAATAATCACTGAGCACATACCCAACATATATAAAATACAACACATGGTGCAAGATTAAAAAAAAAGAAAATCTTTTTTGAAGAACCATTCAGTGCCCCTAAAGATATTATAAACAAAAACATGATGGGAAGTTGTTTACAGTGAAAAACTTCTATCGCTGGTAAGTGTGTTCTTTATTTTTATGTGAAGTGACTAAAAATACGTATATGTAAACTATTTAAAGTTTTAAATTAAATATGGATGGATTAAAGCCACCAAGTAATCTAAATTTCGAAGGTAATTTAAGCGAAAGTTAGAAGAAATGGAAACAAAAATTCCAGATTTATATGTTACCGTCTGGTGGTATTACTAAATCACCTGAAATTAAACTAGCTATTTTATTGCATATTATTGGTAAAGAAGCACTTGAAAAGTTTAATACTTTTAATTTAAGTGAAGAAGATAAGAAGGATGTTGACAAAGTCTTTGAAGCTTTTGAAAATTTTTGCATACCGAAAGCAAACGAAAGTGTTGATAGACATATATTTTTCTGTCGAACGCAACATGTAGGTGAATCGGTTGATGATTTTTTTACCAATTTAAAGAAATTAAGTAGCAACTGTGGATTTGAAAATTAAAAGATAGTTTAATAAGAGATAGAATATTAAGTGGAATTCTAAATAAAAATTCTAAATGTAAATATTTCTCCAATGTTAACTGATCTTCCCTTAATAAGATGGATTATTAAGGGAAGATTAATTAACATTGAAGAAATGTATTAAAATGTGTAAAGCTTCTGAATTAGCAGAACTTCAGCTGAAAACTTTAACTGAAGAAAATAAAATAGAAGCGATCAAATGTAATAAATTTCTACCTTCAGAAGGAAAAAGTCAGCCTTGTAAGAAAAACTATCATGTAAAACAAAAGCAACAAAGTACTAAATCTTTAAACTATCAAGGAAATAAGTACAAATCCAAAACCATGTAGAAAATGTGGAACTTTTCATTAGTTATACAATTGTCCTGCTTATAATAAGATTTGCTTGTACTGTAAAAAGAAAAATCACTTTTCTAAAATGTGCACTTATAAAAAATGTTAATGTTGTACAGAATAATTTAGAGAACGAGTTACATAATAATGGTAATGAATATATTTTAGGGTCAGTAGAAGATATAAATCCATTTTGTAAAAATAAAACAGAATGGTTTGAAAAACTAAAAGTAAACATAGCTAAATATTTATTTGTTAAGTTGGATACTGGAGCTCAGTGTAATGTGTTACTATTGCCTAAATTTAAACAATTAAATTTAAGAGATAAATGTTTGACTAAATCAAAAGTCACATTAAATAATTACAATGGTACTACAATTGATGTAGTCGGAAAATGTAAATTATTATGTGAAACATCAAAAGGGGACAAGGATGAAATAGAATTTCAAGTCGTAGCATGTGATAAAACTGTACCAGCTATTTTAGGTTTACCTACATTGCAAAAATTAAACCTAATGCAAAGGATTTGTACAGTAAGTCCTGATTCCAATGAAAAGTTACCAGAATCTTTAAAAGGATATCAAGATTTGTTTAAAGAAACTGGGAATTCAACTGGATATACATACAAATTTAAACTAGAAGCTGTTGGTAAAATAGAACCCTGTAGGAAAATTCCACTTATTAAATCCATTAAAAAAGAATTAGCAAGAATGGAAAAAGATGATATTATAAAGAAAGTTAACCAACCAACAGAATTTGTGAATTCATTAGTGGAAGTAAGGAAAAAGGATGGTAATTTAAGAGTGTGTTTAGATCCTCAGCACCTTAACCCAAAATATACTGAGAGAACATTATCACATACCAACCTTTGAAGAAATTTCATCTCAAATGACAAAAAATAAAAATGGTCTTTAGTATTTTAGATGCAAAACAAAGCATTTTGGCAAATTAAACTGTCAGATTCAAGTTGTGAATTTATTACATTTAACACTCCAATTGGTAGATATTGTTTTTTTCTAGGTTGCCATATCGACAGAGTTCATCACCAGAAGTTTTTCTGAAATTTTTAGTGATTTAGAAGGAGTTCAAATATATATAGATGATTTATTAGTTTGGGGTAAAGATAAAAAAAAAAAAAAAAAAAAAAAAGATTTAAGATTAAAGAAGCTGTTGGACAGAGCCAGAAAAAAAAAAATGTTAAATTTAATTTAATTAAATGTAAATTTGGGCTGAATGAAGTGAAATATATGGGACATATATTTTCTAAAGATGGTTTAAAACCAGACGAAGACGAAATTAAAGCTATTCCAGATATAAAACCACCAAAAAATGTGAAAGAATTAGAAACTTTCCTAGGAATGATTACATATGTTTCTAGATTTATACCTAATGTATCAGAATTGACATCATGTTTAAGAGATTTGTTGAAAAAACAAGTTATCTGGAATTGGAATGCAACACGCGAAAAAAAATTTGGAAGACTAAAAGATGTCTTAGTAAATAAACCAGTTTTACAGTATTATGTTATAAAGATGCCAGTAGTTTTATCTGTAGATGAATCTCAAGAAGGACTAGGAGCAGTCTTACTGCAGAATAATTTACCAGTAGCATATGCATCTAAGGCATTAACAGATACACAGAAGAATTATGCTCAAATTGAAAAGGAAACTTTAGCTATTGTATTTGTGTATGAGAAATTTCACCAGTATATATTTGGAAAATATATTACTGTGGAAAGTGACCATAAACCACTGGAATCAATTTTCAAATAGCCATTAAATAAATGCCCTGTAAGATTACAAAGAATGCATATAAGATTACAGCCATATCAGTTTGAGATTAAAATATAAACCAGGAAAAGAACTTTTTATAGCGGATGCATTATAAAGATCATTCACTGATAAAGGATCTGATTTCTTTGAAGGAAACATAGAAGCTCATGTTGGATTGGTTGTAGAATGAATGTATACCAATGTCTAATGGTAAAATGGAAGCTTTTCAACTGGAAACATAAAAAGATGAAGAACTACAAGTTTTAAGAAAATTAATTAAAACTGGATGGCCAGATGAAAAATGCCAGAACTGGCAAAACCATATTTTAACTTCAGAGAAGAACTATCAGAAGCAAATGGATTAATATTTAAAAGTTCCTGTGTTGCTGTACCAAGAAGTTTACAAAAAGATAGGTTAAGCAGAATTCATTATGGTCATTTAGGAGTAGTAAAATGCAAGATCAAAGCAAGAGAAATATTATATTGGCCAGGAATGTCAAAAGAAATTGAAGATTTGGTACCGAATTGTCAAACATGTTTAAGTTTACAAAAAGCAAATACTAAAAAACCAATGATACCTAAAGAAATACCTAATGGTCCATGGGAAGTATTAGGAACAGATCTCTTTTACTTTCAAGGAAGGGATTATCTAATAGTTATACATTATTTCAGCAAATATGTTGAAAATGGACATTTGGAAGATTTGTTAAGTGTAGCAGTAGTAAAGCAATTGAAATCAATTTTTGCAAGACCTGGTATTCCGAAAATAGTATATTCGGATAATGGTCCAAAATATAATTGCTGAAAATTTAAAGACTTTGCAAAAAGATGGAATTTTGAAACCAGAACTTCAAATCCAAATTAACCACAATCTAATGGAATGGTTGAAAGACATATTCAAACTGGCAAGCGAACGTTAGAAAAAGCTGTAGTTGACAACAAGGATCCATATTTAGTATTACTGGAATATCGTAACTCTATTTCAGATGAAATTAAATCACCTTCAGAATTTATGTTTGGAAGAAAAGTAATGGATTGATGCCTATAAAAGAGAATTTCGTCCAAGCTAAAGGATATGAAGATCATAAACATTTACTGAAGAAACAAACCTTACAAAAAAGTTATTATGATAGGAATGCAAGTCTGTTAAAACCACTGAAAATAGGTGATCATGTTTACATAAAAGAGAAAGGGAAAAAACTAAATGAAAGAGAGAAACTTACAGAAGAAGCAGAAAGACCACATTCATATAGAATTATAAGAACAGATGGAAGAATTATAGAAAGGAACAGAAGAGACCTTCTTAAAGGAACTAATCAGAAAGAGTTCGCAATACAAAACAACTATGAGAATGAAGTTATAGATGAACCAGAGATATGGGAGAATAGCAGGAGCACAACAAATTTAGATGTGCCTGTAAGTCCTTCAAAACCTAACAGAAGTGTTGTGTCACCAAATAGTGAAAGAGGTATAGTATCATCAAATATTTCAAATGAATATAACTACGTTACTTGATCTGGTAAGACTGTTAAGAAACCTTATTATTTAAAAGAATATGTTTAATTTTACTATTATTATTACTTTTGATAAAAAAGGAAGATGTTATATATGTAACTGTATCTATTATTATCTTTAATCATAACTGGAATATAGAATAGTGGATGAACAATGTAGAATAAATGATGTTTGTGTGCATCTTGCAATCATCACTGAGCACATACCCAACATATATAAAAAACAACACACTTATTACGATCAACAAGTTGGATAATGTTATCAAAATAAATACTGAGAAATTTCTTTTAATTGAAAACCCCAAATAAAGATAAAATTGCCAAAGAAAAGGGTACAGAAATCAAATGATAGGGACATGTCGCACAGTAATGAATTAAGTCCCCAAGCAGCTTGATTTGGGTATAAGACAACCATTTACAAAGGAATTCCCTTTTCAAGTTTTAGGAAGATTGGCTGGACTAACTAGATTGATGTGGAGGAATTCTTAAATGATTTTGCTTTTTCATGCCAAAATACCTCATTTTGAGCTTTCTAATTTTATGGATGTACGATTTCTAGAAAATGCTTATGTTTTATTCTATTTAGTCACTTTTATCATGCAGTCTAGCAAAAGGCTAAATGATCTGAGTGTAAGGGATAAAATAGTTGTGAAAATGTTATGACCATCTTCCAAAAATAAGTAAATATTAGGCTGCTGTAAAGACAAATATTTTTTGTATCCTCTTATACAAGATTCTGAAGAATCATAAAGATGTCTGCAAATCAAGATAAAACTGAAATTAAAATATGAAACAGATGTGCAGTACAAAAAATAACAATGTTGAGAAATCACTGAGGATTCTGTTTACAAATGTTTGGAAAAAAAACATGTGGCATTCAGCAGTCTATTAATGCTCCAAACTATTATAATGCGAAAAAGAAAAAAAATTCATTATGTTTTAAAATAATAAAGATTTTTACCAGTGGAGACTATAAATATTACACTTAGCAGCAAATGCTTCCACAGAAAATTAGCCTTTTTGAAGCATTTGCTAAACGTGTCTTGAAACTGTGTCTCAGAAAAGACAATAAAGAACTGTTTTAAACATGGCAACCCTTTTAATAAGTGATTTGAGTAAAGAAATTTGAAGGACTATAAATAACTTCTCCAAATAGCATTCTAATTGTAATACTGTAACTGTAATGTTAAACTGTAAATAATTTCATGCTAGGATGGCTGTTGATGAAAAAGTTTAAGTTGTGTAGCATCAAACGCAGAAAAAAATATCTGCCAATTGTTTTTTTTTTTTTTTTTTAATACATCAAAGAACATCACGTGATAATGTAAAGATGATGATGATGAAATTGGTGAATTTTCTATAAATGAGATGAGGGATATCTTACGAGTATTAAGATTAGGCATACAGCATCAATCAAATAATTTTCAGAAACATCATGTTCAAAAATGAACTTTTACGCAGCAACTGCAGACTACCAGCTACTAATGATTCCCCTAATTAAAATGCTGGGAAAGGCAAGTATGTTTCTAGTTATATTATTAAATTAGTTCAATTCCATTGACATTTTGAAGGTCATTTTTAACGCTTAATGCTATTGAAACAGCTATAGACAAACCTGACTGCATTAAGAAACACCTAGTATAAATTACAATGGCTTTTATCAATAAACATGATATGAGAAATTAAATAGCATTTTAGACTGATGTTCTTGGAAAAATTAATAATCCTTAATTTTTAACTACAGTACCTGGTAATACTGCTACCTAAAAATCTGTTGATACAGGTTGGAATTTAATTTCATATATACAAGAAATTTAAGAATTAAAACTGTTAATGATTAAAAAAATCAATTTTAAAAACTCACTGCTGACAATACATTACTAAGATTTTCTACTAGTAACAATATTAAGAAAATACTCTATCAACAGACAATTTTCAAACCTCAGACTTCCTTTGAAACAAGATTTTGATTAAAAAGGCACTCAAAATAAGTAATTAATAAGAGAGTTTAACAGTAGTTGTACACAAATGTTCGTTTAAATTTTGATAGTAATCCAGAATAAAGAACCAACGACTATTTTATAGCCTTTATACATAGCTAAAACAATTTTGTTTCAATTAGTTAAAATGTTGATTTCATTCAAATGAGTTAAACATATTGTTTATGTATACATACACAGTTATGCACTCAATTTTCTATGCTCTAGAATTTGAATTATAAATGGATGGAAAAAAAAAAAAAAAAAAAAAAAAAACATTTTTCCCCCTAGGCCAAGTAAAATATGATTTGCTTTTAGATATATGTGGTTTTAATTTATTTTATTAGAAAGGCATAACAAAAAGCAGCCTAGTGCAAATTTATTAAAACGTTTTAGCATTTTTCTCTTAACAGAATGCCATTATACACCAACATGAAATCTAATTAGATGGCAGCAACTCTAATAACTAAAGTTTGATGGGAGGAAAAAATTAAAACAGTATTATATATAATGCTTTATGTGTAACAATGTTATATATAATGTTTAATGTGTGCAATGCTCTGATATTACTTCAGTAAAAACAGACTGCTGTATACATATAGAGAATTGTTGTTCTATCCATGCACACAAATATCCGATTTTACTTAAAAAACAAAACAATAAAAAAGAATAGTACAAATTCAGCACTATGCATCGCCTCTGCACTGTGCACATTAAACATTTCACAGCTATTTATGACATAATTTATCCTAATGTGCTCTGACCGTTGAAAATACACATTTCCAATAAAAACACAAAATATAAAAATACATTTTTCTAACTTCATCAAGCCCTAATATATGTTATAAATGTAAACAAATAATAATATGCATTATACTGAAATTAATAAATGAGCATACACATTATACTAATTTATGTCAAAATAAAATGTCTTAATTTATTTAAAAGTATTGACTTTAGCTTAAAAATAAGTAATGCATTTTGTTTTATGTCGATAAAAATAATTAGTTTAGTTTAATTACAATAATAAAACAAGAATATATATCTAGTTTTAGGATCCTTAGAATTCAAAATTTCATTAATTCAATTGAAAGAGAAATTAATCATGCCTTTTTGCAAATAAAAATTTCAGTGTTAAGCTTTATCAAAAAGCTTATATTTTTATCGTTTTAACTATTTATTGAAATAAACCTAGGAAAATTTTTCCTTACCAATACAGTAAATAATCTTAAATAATTCATATTTTGTCTCTAAAATTGTCTATACAATTATCAGTGGATCATGATACATATTTATAAATACTCAAATAGTTACTTTGCAATTAAGCTTATTCACCTGCGAATGTTTTTCCTTCTCGGCAGCCAATTGTTCTTGCACTTGTTTCACACGTAAGTTAAGAGCTTGAATATCTTGCTGCTGACGTGAAATTTTTTCTTGACTAACCTTTTCTTGGGCAGATAATTTTGTCTTTACCTGATTATATTCTTCTCTTAAATCTTTGAGCTTGGTAGTCATAGTCTGATTCTGACGCAATTCTTGATCCAGTAGCTGTTCTTTCTCTAATAAATTTTTCTTTGTGATAGCCAGTGGATCATTGGGCTGGAGGATAAAATTACATATGAAATGCTCATTAAACTTTAATATTTCAAAATATTAAAAAATATGAAAAATGTATGTGATCTAGTGATTTTAGTTATTTTTTAGATGGCAGGACTAAAACTCATTCTTGTTTTAATCATTTCTTTTCTCTGTCATTTTACTGCACACTTGAGATTTAAAACAGTGTTTTAGTGATACATCTAACAAATAAATAAAAGCAGTATATTGCATGCTTTATGATTACCAAATCATGAGTTTCTCATACATAGACAAGTATAAATAATTAACTTTACCCTTTGTGATGATCAAGCTCTAGTTTAACTAAAGCTTGACACTTTTAACTGAAAATGCAGACATCTAAGGTGATAAGCATTCTTTATTATTATAACACTAATGTTATGACTGCCGTATTTCTCAGTTTCTCAAGAAATGGTCTTACATCAATAAGCAAATCGTCTTAAGAAGGCAGTAATGAACTTACTTCTCTATTTAGATTCAATTTTTTTCATTGCACAGTATTTCCCTATTTTCACTTGCATAATAATTCACAAAAATACAACGTTAAAAACAAAATTTAAAACAAATATAAATTTGAAAATTTCACTATACAACCAACCCACAGGACATTGGCATACAATGGTTATGATATGCCAAAATAAATACACTAGAAAGAAAAACTGAGAATTTAAAAAGGAAAAGATGATAAATTTTAAAGGGTCTACACAAAGGGCATGTGTTTTAGAGTATAAAAATTTAAAGATACATAAGTATAGCTCCAGTTTATCAAGTTGTCACATTTGTCATTATTTCAAATTACTCATTTAAATTCATAAAATTGAATATTTTATGCACATTTATACTTTTAATTTATAAATTATTTGTAAATAAAAGTTAATAAATTACAAATAAGTCACTTACTTTAGTCCAGCCAGTTGAATCCTTTTGTTTGTTTAATAAAATATCTATCAATGTCTGAATTTCTTCCGTATCTAATTCTGATTCCTTAATAAGTGACAGCAGTTTGCTAGTAGTCAAAGGAATGATATCTATAAAGAATTTTACATCATAAAGTACATATGTAAATTACGAAATAACATTATACATATTCATTTAACAATTGAAAATCTCAGTATAAAATTCTCACAGAAAAACCTACAACATAACAATTTTGTTATCACTTACCTAAACACAAATTTACGATAAAGTTTACTGAATTTATTACAAAGAGTATTGAATGGTACAATTTCAGGAAATAATCTCCACGATGAACAATCTGTCTTTTCAAGATATTTACTTTACTTACTTTAAATGACTCCTTCAGAAAAATCAAAGATATTTATGCAAAATATAAAATTAAAAAATAAATAAAATGGCATTTAATTCAGAACTTGAACTCAAAATTTCAAGAGTTGAAACCTTTTTTTACAGTGAACTGCCATAGTGGATAACTGTACTTTGCTTCTCTGTTTTTAGCAAGACTCTGCTTGATGCAGCAATATCTAAAATGTAACTGTTTGGAAGCAGGCACAATTAGCGTCCCAAGTGAACTATGTCAATTCAATTAGAAATGAGTATTTAATCTGCCTCAGCTACTAAGTTTGCTCATTGCGGATCTACATTCTATACCATCAATATTGCAAAGTCTTTTTCATAATATATATATATATATATATATATATATTCCTCTCCAAAAATAATATATAGTCATTATTTTACTGAAGCGTTATTTCATTGTATATTCCAAAAATAGGTAATCAAAAATTCATCAAAGTTTTACAAAATATGAAATACATAAAACAAATTCAAAATCTGGGCTTCCACGTGCCCATGCTCTGGTGGAAGACTATGTTATTCAAAATGTTTGAAGACTCTAAGTAGCATTGTTTTTTCGCAATACAAGAACCATACGTACATTCATGTAGATTCTGCATTATTTAACTTCTTTAAACATAATACAAGGCGATAATATTTTGTGACAACAATTTGAAAAGCAATTCGGACTTTTAAAGCGATTCGACGCAAAATGCCGTTTTGAGACTAATAACACCTTCTAGGCTAAAAATTAAACTAGTGATTTAAACAAGATTATGACCAAGCCTTTTTGGGGAAACGAATTTAAATATTTGTATCAAGACAAAATAATTTACTCAGAAGTCTAAAGAGAAACTGAAAATTGCATTGACAAATTCGACATGAAAGATGCAGAACATATATTCAGATTTAATAGTACCTTAAAAAAAGTTCAGATTTTTAACGGTCACCCAAAGGGGATTGTTAAAATTGTTTATGCTCTTGCTGAGCTCGCAGTCTACCAGTCTGCTCTTGCATTCACTCCAGCTAATTTTTAGATTTCGTTTTGGCATTTTGCATCGATTCCCTATAAACAGGAAATCGCTTTCAAATTGTTGCCACCAAATATTATCGCCCAGTGTTACATTTAAAGAAATTAAATAACGAAGAATCTGCATAAATGCATGTATGTTTCTCGCATTGTGATAAAACAACGGTACCTAGAGCCATCAAATTTCGAATAACGTAATCCTCCACCGAATATGGGCATCCGGAAGCACCAATTTGGAATTTGTTTTATTATCGATTTCATATTTTGTAACACTAATGAATTTTTCATTAACAAACTCGATGATTTCAAAGTGATCAATGGCGACACTGTACAGAGAGGGGGGGAAAAAAGAAACATTTTTATCTCCAGCATGCAAGACTGTGTATTGGAAATTCCAAAGATATGCTCATTTTAAAATTATTTTACAACATAGCTCCTGAATTGAATTTTACAATTTAAGTGCAAAGAACAATTCAATATTATTCAATAAATAAAGGTAACACACAGAACATTAAAAAATGTCCCCTTGGGCATAATGTAAAATCTAAAAGCTTCATTTTTCCAAATGAAAATCTGATAGCTTTCAGATTTTTGTTTATGTTCGTTTTTAGTCCAAAGGGACTTTGTCCCCTGAAGGACTATTGTTTTCGTTTCATGATTTTGAGTTGAAAACTTAAAAATGCTGTATAACTTTTCAAATCGATGCCACTAAATACTATCATCCTTTATTATATTTGAAAAAATTAAATAATGAAGAATCTGCATAAATGTATGTATGTTTCTCATATTGTGATAAAACAATGGTATCTAGAGCCATCCAATTTTGAACGACGTAATCCTCCTACAAATATGAGCATGTGGAAGTTAAACTTTGAAATTTGGAATGTTTTTATGATCGATTTCATATTTTGTAAAATTTTAATGAATTTTTGAGTAATTAACTCAACGATTTAAAAGCGGGCGATGGCAACACTCTACGCGGGGGAAAAGAAAAAAAAAAAACCTTTCTATCTGCAGCGCGCAGAACTGTGTATCGGAAATTCTTAAGATATGCTCGTTTTTAAAATTATTTTGCGGCATTGCTGTTGAACTGAATTTTATGGTTTAAGTGAAAAGACCAAACTCTGCTAACTCAGAAACAAGAGATGGTGAGCAAAGAAGCTGGGCAGGTATTTGTACTGATTTTAGACTTACAAAAAAAAAAAAAATCTTTTTTTTAAAAAAAGGAAGAAAGTGATGTTTTTTAATTGATTTTACTATCCATATACTTATAAAAATTAGTAAATGTTTAAAAGGTAAAAATGATATACGGAAAATACTGTATCTGTATTAAATAGTATCGTATACAATTTTAAATGACAAGATAATAAAAATCATTTTTATAGCAAAGCACAGCATAAGCTAGGAAATACTGGCTACACAATCATGCATGCATATTTGTGTTTATAGTCACCATTGCTGAAGGGAACCTTGTTTCAATATGTTACACAGGTCTCTTCTTTTAAATTTATAAATTAAGAAATGTTTACGGCACAAAGGTCTTTAATCCAGATGTCTGTAATCTGGAATGATCTATAATCCGGACCTTAAAGCTACAAACTTTCTGCGCATGCATTTACGCATGCGCGTTTAATTTATAACGGACGGTATAAGCTAGGCTAAAATTATCTAAATATCTATTTCAGTTAATGTTGCAGATTGAGTTGTTCCTTAATCTTCTAATTGGATCCGGCTTATTATTTTTTGCAGACTGTTGAGCAATTTTATAAAAAGCAAGCTTGACCTTTCGATTATGTCAAAAAGAGTTTCCGATTCTGGAGCTGCCAAAGGATCTACAAAACAAAAGTATGTTTCGATGTCCATCCAACAAAAAGTGGAATTGCTGCAAAAAAATGGATAAAGGCATGAAGAAAGTGACAGAGAGGTTAGTGAAAACGAAAAAATTTCGATTGACAAGTTAGTCGGTATTCTTGACATAGCAATTACAGGACTTGAACAGCGGAACTTTGTAACTGAACAAGAAATTATGTCTGTTTATAGAATTAAAGAGAAAGTATTAGCACATAAAACGAACTTAACTTTCATTGAAATAAATGTTTAATAAAGTAAACAAATAAATATTAAGTTTTTTTGGTAAATTTTGATACCCTTTAGATCATAATTGCTCTTTATTTCATAAATTACAGTTTCATATTTTTAATTTTATAATTTCTGCATGCCATCTTACCAGATTTAAATTGATGATCTATAATCTGGAAAAACCCCTAATCCGGAATTGCCGAAGTCCCAACGAGTCCAGATTAAAGACTTTGTACTGTATTAAATCTACATTATAAAATTAGTTTGCAATAAATTGTACATGTTGAATCTGCGGGAGGGAATAAGTATAATGCCAACATATGAATAAACAAATTAAAATTCATTAAAGCACCTACCTTTGTCAACTTGTTCTTTCTTTTTCTTTTTGCCAGCTGTCACAGTTGGAGCAGATACAGCTTGAACTGCATTACTAACTGATACACTTTCAACAATTTCTTCTACTTTGGGTTTCAGAACCTCAGCTGCTTTTGGTTCAGTTTTAATCTTTTCAGTTTCTTTGACTACTGGTAATGCATCTTTCTTTTTCTCTGACACAGTTTTTTCAGGCACGACGGCATCTACTTTCTTTGGTTTATCAGCATTCAGAGGTGTAGCACTAGGAATATTTCCTTTAGATTTACTTTTTTGCTTTACTGGTTTAGTTTCTTTTGGCTCTATAATTTCAATAGGAGCAACATCTTCATTATTCTCCTGAATTGATACCTTTTCAGGCACTACTTCTTGTTCCACTTTTTCCTTACTCTTTTTACCCCAAGTCTTCTTAAATTTTTTCTCTTTCTTGCTCTTTTCTAATTTTTGCTGTAATTCTTCTTCAATGCTGCGTCGTTTCTGCTCCTCAATAACTTCTTCGAATGACTTTTCAGCAATGCTATATGTATAGATCAAGTAAACAAGGATAACTACAGCAACAGGAACTCCAACACCTATAACAGTAGATAGGCCAATAGAAAGCAATTCTATCGCCATGACAGTGTGATTTTTAAGTTTTTTTTCTATAATGCTGCTTGGTAATTTCCTTTAAATCTAATTTAAATAAAAAAAAAAAAGTATATATATAACCAATCTTAATACTATCAAAATATAAAGTTTCAAAATGCAATTTTGTATTTACATAAATTGTCACAACCAACCAAAACATAAACCAAAATAAGTAATAATCAAAGCAAGTAATGCATTGCATGAGGATTGCTTAAACACAAGCAACCTTTATACACTTTAATAATACAGGCATATTATTAAACAGATCTCGCTAATGCTCACTAATGTTACCAATACTCACTGTTACTGCTAATGCTGGCCTATAGTCAGTCAGCCCAACCCCACAGAATACCTCATGGCAATACGCCCAAATATACGCCTGTTATTTGGCAACCAGCCTTGAGCACCTTACAGTGCGATTTAGCTTAGTTCCGTTCCCAATTTTCAGCTCGCCACATATTTAAAGTGCTCCCATGCTGCACAGGCATTATACATTTACAAACATCCATGCCTTCTCTTGAATCCAGCCCTTCAAGCACGGATAGTGAGTTTGTGCAATTCTTTGATCTGTTATTTCAGATATGTGTAGGAGCAATTTTTGGGCCAAAAATTACCGCTTCACAATGCCAAAACAACAAGTCAAAGAATTGCACAAACTCAGTGTCCACATACTGCCAAAAAACAGCAGTTATCACCAAAGGGCACCCGTAAATATATTTTTACATAAATATTTTTTGAAAGCTAGCATTTATGCGACCCAAGAAAAATCCATTCCAGCCAGCTCGGTTAGCTATTACAAGTTAAGCCAGGACAATGGTTACAAAATGGTAAATGAAAGATATTTTAAGTGACTGGCATGGGTGTTTGTAAATATATAGTGTCACTTCAATATGAGCATGTATTTTTCTCATTTTTTCCCCCTCTAATGGCATAAAGAACACTAATATACACAGTACTAATGCAGAATGCATGTGCAGGTTTCTAATAGTACACATATGAAAACTAGTTTTTGACAACCGTTTCACTTGAACATTCAGTTTTCTCAATTTCAATTATACTTTTATGGCAGAAATATTCTGGGGGGAAAGTGTACTTAAAATATTTTTAATTTCACTTGCATAAGGTCTTGTATTTATTCTCAATACTTTTCCGCTCCCAAATCGTTTTGTGAAAGTTATTTGAAGTATAGGTATTCATTTTAAACACTTGCGCTAAAAAGACGTGCCACGCACGTCGAGATGCTTGTCTCAAACCGCACGCAAAAATTAAAATAACGTGGTGCAGACGTCGCCTAACAACGAGTTGTTTATTTCTCGAGTTACAGCTTTAGATTGCACTCGCAGACACGAAGCGGCGTAAATGAGACACCTTACCGCTTGTTATATTGTAGCACACGGCACCGCAACCGTGAAGTTTAGTCGTAACGCAAGTGGTTAAATAATCTGTACTCATTATTCTAAGAAAGTTCTAAACTTTTTCTAAGACTTAATACTGCCAAACAAAAAATATTATATTGCTCATGTGTACAGATATTCTCAAATATAAAGATAGAAAAATTAAAATAAAAAAGAATACAAGCTATAAAATATGAAATAACATATTTTGAAGTAATGCAGACGAGACATTAAAAAGATACAACAGAACAAATACAGTGAAGCTTTACTAAAATAAAAATATATTTTATGGTATTCTTTTGTTTTCGGGACTGGATTAAACACATGCATGCATATGTTTATGTATACATGCATATATGCACTTGCCTACATACATTTCTGAAACTGGTCCTGATCATAGAAGAGTACCAATTTTACATCTGAATATCCGATAGACAGGTGTGATAAAATTATTGATAAACAAGCATAATTTATAAACAATAAAATTTAATCTTAAATATAAACAAGTTCTTGTGAATATCATTTGTAATAAAAATTATAAGATAGATCAAACTATATATTTTTGCTTCAATTTAAAAAATCAAGTGTGCAAAATGTATCCAAGCGTTATGCTTACTAACGCAATGCATGAGAAAAAACAAAAATTAACAATGGCACTGCAATGAGGACATTTATTCATATCTATGATTAGAGATGGAAAAAATCTGTACAGCCACCTCTAAATGTAGGCTACCTCTTTTGAAAGGCAAGAAGACTTAACCCAACACTTTAAAATGATTATTGTTTTTTATAGCTCACATAGAAAAAGGCAATGAAAATACACTTATCCTGTTCCATCCCTGAATTAGCCTGGTCCATTCAGAAGTACAGTAAATGAAATTACAGCAAAAAGTGTGTAAAGAAAAAGCAGTTGGGGGAATAAATCTAGTCTCTTAAGTGTCAACACAAAATTTTAACAGATGTGTGCAGTGTTTTTATTTTAAAAATGGATAGCATCTGAACATTCAATAATTAATGATCTTCCCAAAGGTCAAATTCTTTTAAAAATTTGGGCTACACATACATAGGAAAACTTCCATATTATTCCATCACCAAAAATCTTTAATTTAGAGTAATACCATTATTTTTCAGTACATCCGATATACTGTAGATCTGTTTCAAGATGTAATATAAAGCAGATTTCAAACAATCAAATTTACTTAATTACTTAAATCAGCACAACCAACTAGCAGAGAGTATCAGGGCTGTAATTTTTAATAATTTGTAAATGACAACATTTAATATTTAGCAACTTGTAATTGGCAGCACTTTTGGAGATATAAAAATAGAACTGTGCTGGTATTGCAGTTCATGTTGCTTTTACTATGTTCGAACTTTATTTCCAAAAGTACAAAAAAACTTCCATTTTTCGAACTCCGACTCCTCGACCAATCTTAATGCCGGACACTGATCACGTGTTTCTGCTCTTCTAGACTCACCCAGAAGCTTAGACTTTCATTTCGCCTCTCGCCGCCATTGATATAATCACCCACGATATGCAATTTAGCAAAACTTATTTTACGAGTTCTCTCATTTATTGATCTCGCCTTCGGGCATGGTGTATTTGTAAATACACCTCTTAAATTTTTAACTTTATGGCCTATGGTATAATGATAACTGGTAAGAGCTCCTAGTAGCTAAAGCCAGCAGTAAAGATATGATCCAAGATATTGCAGTTCTCCTGGTCATAACTAGTCTAAGTCTATTGCAGTTCTCTGTAATATAATATATTCTATGATTACATATAAATAGTTTCTGAAAGCTAAAAGTGCACCCTCATCATTTTATATATGACCCTCATGAATTAAGTTTAACAGGGACCAGCTCAAAGACAATATTAGTCTATATCTCCTATACTTGGAGGGTATCACCAGGGCTGGTGTTATACATTTTGCCAGACGGTACAACTCCAGAATTCTGCTGCCTGGTTCTTTCCCAAATTTAAAAAATTTTGGCCACCCCTAGATTCTGCCACAACGGTTGCACATGCGCTGGCCTTGGGAATCAGTTAAGTTGTGCTCGCGAGTAATGCCTAATAATGGTATATTCTGCTTTGAATTATTAGTACATTTAATTTATATGGAGTGCAAACTAAGGTGATAACTCACATCGAAAATGCTGGAAATAATCAAAATCAAGGTTAAAGAAAGACAATTTTTGTTATAAAAAAAGATTATTTTTATCATTTTATTATAACTGACTTTTGCCTTCCTGATGTATATATATTTCTGTCCTTTCATCTGATAGCTATACAGACAGTAGACATAGAATACATAGAAATGCAGAGTTAATAATATACATACAGGTGAGATACAAGTCTGCTCACCTGTTACTTAAGTTGGTTTGGTTTATTAGATTACAGCAAAGCACTCGAGGGCTATCTGCCTTAAGGGAAGGATGCCTTCGTGGAGGACATTTTAAGGGAAACTGGCTCGTATACACGTTACACATGGCAAAAACCACGAAAACACCCAAGCAGCCAGCCCGTTTGCGGGATTTGAACCTCGGATCGAACTACCAGTGTTCAGCGACATTACCGCTCGGCCGCTGGCGAGCTCTGTTACTTAAGTTGAAAGAGAATGTAAAACTACACTTCATATATCTAGATTTTATATGAATGTAGAATCATATGAACTCAATATGTAAGGATCTATTCATTAAAATAGATTTTTAAAAAGTTATGAAACTATTTTAAGCAAGATATGTCAAAAAAATGTCATAAGGATTCAGAAAATAATATTTATTAATTAAATTTACATTACGTTATACCACATTAGCAACTGTTTCATTTGAATGTACAGAAAATCGCATTTCCAATCAATCAATACATCATCCAACATGAGATATTATAACTATTATTTTTTAAGGTAAACAGAAGAAAATCTTCCAAAAACCACATTCAAATTTATAATTTTTCCCACCTCATTCTTATATACTTGAGATAATATTCTATTTGAAAAAAAAAATGTATTAGCATTTTACAACGTCAGAAAATCAAAAATTTAACATTTTAAAGGACTTTTCCAATACTTTTTTTATACTATATACTTTTTGAACTGATAAAATATACCGAGCTATATTAATTTTATTCAAAAAATTATATATGCAAGACACATTCAAGGGATTCTAATACATATTAAACTACTGCGACAATAGGGTTCTTAAACTTATCGGCGCCAGACTAAAAATCCCGCATACCTAACAACCAGCTGGACGCACCCACGTAAGTCCAACGTGGCCAAGGCCAGATGAGAAGCCTGTGACTTGCCACGTTACAGAGCCAAGCCGCCATAGTTGTCTCAATATCCTGACCCACTGATACTATTTTCACGAATTTCCATCACCATTGTTTGCGGTAATCGAAAAATTATTTCAGTATCTAAGGCACAAACAGTTGGATTTAATTTTCTTTCCTATAAACACTAACTAGATCAGGCAACGAATGGAAAGTCTAGCATTATACCGGGATGTACATTTAAAGATAAATTTTATATAGTATAGTTATTAAAGATAAATAACATGGATAACAAAGATTCTGTTCAGTGCTTGATCACATGTAAAGCATTAAAATTATAGCGGTTATCAGTTACAATATTTGAAACATCCACATGCGAAACTGAAAGATATAAGAAACAAACATATTTTTTTAAATTTTCAGACATATGACAGGTAAATATAACTTACCTTTAAATTATAAACTAATTTAGTCCGCAAATAAACTTTTGAATCGATTTATTAATAGTAATTTACAAATTAAAAAGCTACATTCCGCCAAGCAACGAATAAGGAAGGGGTACTAACACTTGTGAGACGATGATACTGATGTCGCTCTCATAACTCATTGCGGAAAGGTTAATGCCGTATGAAAAAACATGGTACTTCCCGATTGGAGAGCGAAAGTCACATGGCTCTCAGAAGGGATGTTATTGGCCTTTAATGTGTCTCGGTGATAGTGACAACTTTGACAGTGCAGAGTCCCCCTCCCCCTGTTTTCTAACTGCGAGCGTGCATATTGAAAGACGAGCTAGGCCTTTTTTTAATAAAAGAGATTTTTTTTAATTTTCATCAGGGGAGTCGCTCATAAATAAATGTACTTATAAAGAAAACTGAACGCTTTTGTGACAGTTGGAAAAAATAACAGTTATTTAATTCTACTTATTTTGCCCTCTCAACATTTTTTTTTTCTTTTTTTATTCTCTTTTTTTTTAATGACTTTAATTTCTCAAAATATACTATACAATATATGCTTATTTTATTTTGCTAAAAAGTAATAAACATTTTTATTATTTTTATATTTATTTTAAAATATTTTAAATGAAGTGGAATATATCTCATCATTTACAAATGTTTTATTTTAAATACCTGCTTTGTATAAGGGATTTCTCCCCTTCCCGAACTGTATGGCCGAAAGGCTATAGTTAGCTAGGGATCAACAGTGGCTGCTGAACACTCTTAGTTCGCCAGTGTTTCCAGGGAAAAGGTTGGTTTAATTTTGTTTTTCTTTGTGTTTAATAATAAACAGGCATGAACTTCCTCTATACAGCTCTCGACTACATCATTGGGAAGGAGACCACGAATGCTTTGTCATAATTAATCTAAAATTGCGTCAGTTAGATAATTATTGCAAGTTGATGACAATAATATTAATGATAAAAAAAGCATTATAAAAATCAGCTAGTGTTTCTCAATTAATTCTTTTCAATTTACACTCATTAAAAGAACCGCCCACGCGGTATAGTGGTTAGGGTAGCCGACAGCGATACAAAGGGCCTGCGTTCAAATCCTGAAGAAGGCATGATTTTAACTGTCCGTTCCTTCAGAGGAGGCACAGGTGGCCCACCTATTAGGTGCCTCCATAATAAAGTGATCACATTTTGTGGCCTACGCAGTGGCCAAGCCGAATGGCGGCTGACGGCCCCCCATTGGTTTAAAAAAAAACTCATTAAAATAGGCCACTAAGCCCTGATTAGCCTAGGTACCAGTACCGGTCCGCCACGCGGTGCAATCACTTCCATTACTGGAACCTGCGCCCACTAGCTCCCTAAATTTTACAAATAATGCCGTCCAGGGCAGCTGCATCTGTTGCACATGCTCTGACGCCGCCCCTGCTAGATACTAATGCATAACTGCTGATAGTGAAATGAGGAGCTGTTTTCAGAAAAATCATAAGGAAAATTAAATGCCGATTTTTCTTAACACCGGGAAAAATGCCATATTTTTATTACATGTTGTATTGCTTTTAACTATGAAATTGGATGCTGAGAAACCATAAAAGAACACCGTGTCTAGGACCCCACCCTACCTCAGTCTGCTTTTGGAAACCATCACTGGCCAAGTGAATAAAGTACCTGTGGTAATGTCATTCTAGTTTCGCATCTTAGTTATGGAAAGAGCTGTCTGCGTTCACCTTTCGTAATTTTTATCGTGCGATGCAAATCATCTTCCGTGGAAAAATCTTTCCTGAAATTACCTCCACATCTATTACTACAAAGAAATCAATAGTTTTTGATAATTTACAGTAATGATAAATAATAATGATATATTTTAATAATAATACATTTTAAAAGTATTACATTTAATAATAAATTTATAACACATAATAATGATAATTTTTTACTTTTTTAATTATTTACAAGTTTGCATTACATATCGTTAATTGTATTATGATTTCAAATGCATTATTTATTAATTTATCTATTAATTTGTTTAAATGATTCTCTGCTACTAAAGTGAAACTAAATATCCTCACTGCACTACAAATTTATCAATAATTTCTGCTTCATTTTCACGGATGTCTGACAAACGAATAGAAAAGCAAGTCCTTTCAATCCGACTTCGAAAATGGTATTCTTCACATATTTTTTCCCAGATGTCTGGGAGTGAGAAAAAGCATTATTTTTTCGGTAGTAGTAGACATATTTTAATTATATTCATATACATGATTAACATTTTTAGCAGTCTGTAAATACTCAGATGTTGTTGTTTCAAATATTTATATATTATATTTAAATATTTATCCTTTTCTTTCGGGAGAAGGGAATACCCCATCGGCTCTTAAACGATACCTTGATAGATTTTTATTCCCTCTTATATGGTGATTTAATTTGGAAAAAAATGTATCACGTGACGATAATAAGTTGCATAGTTCGTTGTACTTTTTGTTACAATACCGATTGCAGGTCCCCCCCCCATTACGAATTCGAATTCTAATCATTGGAACTTTGCAAATTATTAACTCTGCTGCTTATAATAATTTGTCTGCGTTTGCTTCTTTAAAATTGTTGACTCGCGTTATAATGACTCGATAGGAATCGATGAGAAAGAATATTATATTAAATGGTCGTTACATCCAGTGTTATTCGAAAGTGGAAAAAAATCATTTATCAATATACTGTTCCATCACAACCTTTAAATAGTCCAAAAATTAAATTATCACTGCAGTTCGTACGTTTATAATTTTATTTATTAAATAATTAAAAAATTCTTGTTGGTTAGGAAAAATGCATTCTTAAAAATTTCCTTTTAATTCCCATTAACCAATGAAGAGATAAAAAAGGAATGAAATACATGCTGACAAGTTATATAAGCAGGAGGTAATATTTTATTATAATTTGGTTCACTCTAAACTGTTTTAGATAACCATCTGAATGCCATTTTTCCAAATTTAATTCATGGAAAATATTGGCTCGCGTTTCTTTTTCTATTGAAGACATTTCGCAATAGCATTTTTGGAACTTTTGTTGACATACGCCGTTATTCTTTCTCTATATCTTTAGCGGAAGAATCATTTACATCGATTTATTGAGAATTTAAATACGAGTAATTTGCGATTAAATAGTCTTCGGAAACTTCTCTGCGTAATGAATATTTTTACCATTTTCAATATAGTGCACGTTTCTTACCATTAAAAAAAATTATATGCTTCTTTTGTTGAAATAAGGCAAAGAAACGACTTGTGATGTTACATCGGTGTTAAGAAATATGAAAGAAGTTCTCCATTGATAATCCCTGCATAATGAAATACATTATAGTGCGTTGTAGAGACATAAGTTATTTCGAGGCCGGAGAGATGAAAAATGAGCAACGCTTTCGCCGGAAATCGAACAACGGACCTCTGGAATACGCGCCCAGCGTGCAGACCACCACACCACGAAGGCATGACAAGAAGGCGGGAGAAGTACCTTATAGCGTCAATATAAAAACTTTCTCCCAAACGCTTTTCATTAAGTACAGAGCAACTATGATATGATACAATAAGTCTTTCGTTTTTAATTTAATTAAAACTTCATTTATGACTTCTCTTCTGTAATCGTTTTGGAAACTCTTCCAGTGTACTTATTCTTTTCTTAGATGTCACTGTCTTTGCTGCGGAGAGGAGGTGGAACGAAATTTTACACCAGTTTTCGGAAAATTTTTCATTTTACCGCAGTTTCTGCGTTTGCTTTACAGGTAAAGGTTTAAGAGATTAGATTAGATGTAAAGTTAACATGGTTTCTAAAATTTTCTGAGTGAAAACGAAGGGATTTCATAATCTGGTTGAAGAACGATTGTTTATGATTAAACTAAAATGTGTCTTCTATGCCTTCTGAAAAAATAAATTATTCATTTGTTTGAAAGGCTCGTATTTACGCTATTCATAATTTCAAAAATACTGCTATAACGTTATTTTGGTCGATCGTTGGATCCTTAATAAAAGTGAAGAAAGATAGTTCAGAGACAAGAAACTGTGAGGCGCTGTATCAGGACGAGTCGCTGTATCGAGTGTCATAAAAAAGCGAATCGATGTACTTCGGAAATTGAAAGCAATCGTAATAGCTGTGAACTAGAATGGCATGTGAATAGCATACATTTGCCTTTTAGTTGCGTGTATTGTACAGTTATTAGGAGGTTTTGATACTGCAGACGTGAAAATAAGCAATGTCCTCGCCGGAACTCGAACCTGGAGCTCTCAAATACGCCCTGAGTTGGCTGCAGTTACACCACGAAGGCATGCAGAAAGGAGGGAGAATGACCATAAGACCAACTTGTTTGGTTTGGTTAGATGGGTCGGGCTCCGCCCATTTCTGGCACCTTATATACTTCCCCTTTTGAAGAGCGACTGGGGATTAAAGGAACCAGTCCTCAAATCCTGGTGGTGAAGAATCATCAACCACCACCATTTTAGTGCGGGCGCCACTTTAGCTTAAATAAAAGTTTATCTGCTTAATTTATTAATTTGAATAAATGTAGTTGACTACTATGTTAGATGTAACCGTAATTCTACTCTTTTGCTTTCCAGAAATCTCGAGAAGCAGAAATTCGTGAAAATTTCTCGCGCCCGATTGAAAGCTATAAAAAGTCAGACAGAGAAGATCTCTTCTCAGTTGTTTAGTTAGCTGTTGTTGTTATTGCGAGTTCAGCGTAAGATCGGATTAGCCTTTCTCTTTAAATGTATTGTACATTGCATTATATTTATCGTTTTTAGTAGCTTGAAGTATAATTACTGATTATTACTGCGTGCAAGAGGCATTTTTTAACGTTTTGTATGTTACCTTTATTTATTAAATATACTGTTCTACATACTCAAACTATAAAATTCAGTTCAACAGCAATATCGCAAATTAATTTTTAAATGAGCATATCTGTAGAATTTCTAATACGGTGTCCCGCGCGCTGGAGATAATTTTTTTTTTTTTTTTTTTTTTTTTTTTTTTCAGTGTTGCCATTGCTCGCTTTGAAATCGTTTAGTTTTTTAATCAAAAATTCGTTGAAGTGTTACGAAATCTGAAATCGATAATAAAACAAATTTCACATTCAAATTAGAGCTTCCACATGCCCATATTCTATGGAAGATTACGTTATT